TCGATTTACTATGAAATTCTGTTGCAAACAGTGCGAACCCATAAACTCGCGGAGTAGACCACAAAAATAGGTGACTTCATTACTGGCCACTATAAATTAATTGTGACATTTTTTTCCTGTGACTTTTTTCCTAACCAAAATTATGACTTTTCTCCGTGACTTTATTACCGGCCATGATAATATCAATCACCCTCTGTGGCAGTGAATACTGAGCAATTTCCTTACAATTGAAGAAGTGACTTGAGGCAAAAGAGATATAGGTCTACAGAAGGATGCTGGGAATACTATGGTATTCCCAGCATGTGTTGATGGCGCATTAGAATAGCAAAATACACCTTCTAAAAACTAGGCAAAGTACCAAGAGTTGCGGATTTGTATCAACCCACAACAAAGAAAAAGACGAAAAATATAAGATATTTTTATTTTCGTGTTTTTTACAACTAAATTTTTCTTGGAGTGTGTGTTAAAGTTCTCACAGTTCTTGCTTGTAGTTGTTTGTTAAGATGAAAAGAAATGTGATTTCTTCGCGTGTATGTATAAGAAAGTAGAGTCAAAGGAAAAAGTGAAGAGAAAAGTCTAAGTGTCACGTCGATTGGTGAGGAAAACGGGTAAATGAATAAGGGAATTTCTTTTAAACATCGTGAAATTGTTGCCCTATGTTGCCGTTTGTCTTACTGGCTTTTCTGGTCTGGAAATTGAACGCCTTTCGCGGATTTAATTTCTCGCGTCGATAACCACTACACTAATGGACTATTCCGCTGCCGATAATTCGCTAACAAATTAATTCGAAATTTACTTTAGAATTGCTTTGAAAGTAACCAACGTTTTGTTATCAGTTTTTTGGCTTATATTATTATTACCTAAATAAAACATTATTATTACATTAATAAATGTATTTATGTTAATATCAAGTAGTATATATTGTTATCGCTGCCAAGTTAAAAATAATATCGGTTCAATATACATCATTATGTATTTGTTCATAATTCATTTAGCCTAGCAAACAATTCGAATAAAGATTGTTTCGTTGACGATATTTAATAATAGTATTTAAACTTAAAAAGATAAAAATAATTGTGTAGTCAAGAGAGGTTAAAGTTTGACTTTTTCACTTATAGAAAGCAGTGTTAATAGGTGTGAATCTTTTGTATTAGGTCAGTGTTTCTCAACGGCACACGCATGAAAATATCACGGTACACTTAGCAAAATTTTTAAAGGGTATAATTTAAATGTTAGATTCTTTTTAAAAATACACACACTAATATGAACTTACTTTGAATATTAAATGAATGTTAAAACAAAGTATTTAAAATAACATAATAGAAAAATAATGAAAAGAATAATTTGAAAAAAGTTTTATACTTATTCATTTATTCAAATATTAATGCTGTACCATTGCTACTTCCAAATACACATACAGTGTAACCCGGATGTAAGAGAGTTGTCGGGACCGGAGAAGAATTCTCTTATATCCGGGTTTCTCTTATATCCGGGTTTGGTCTATTTTATATACATTAACACAGGCTCTAATTTGGGACCAGAGAAAATATCTCTTATATCCGGGTTACATTGTATATGAAAGACGTGATAATATTACGCAACACACTCAAGAGAATAGAGAGCAAGACAGCGGTTGAGAATGACTGTACTAGGTTGCTACATAAATTCGTTCGTCTTTTGCCATTTATTTTAATATTTATTGATAGTTCTGATGAATCATTCCACAATGTATTCCGTTTCATTGTTTACGACCTCCTGCCAACGATCCACTGCCAACGTTCAATGCCTCAACGATAGAAATCACTAGGTTTTGACTGGAAAGATTCATCAAGCCACGCTTTAAGCTCCACACTGTTGTTGAGCGAAACACCCCTCAAATTGTTAGAAAGCGACCAAAAAAGGTGGTTGTCCGAAGGAGGTAAATCAGGTGAATATATTGGGTGTGGCAGAATTTCCCAATTTCTCTTTCTTCGTATCCACGAGTAACCTGGTGTTTATTCGAGTAAACTGGCGGCGATGGAGGAGCACTGGAGTTTGTTTCTCTCGGTCAATTCGTATGGCATTCAGGCGCCGTGTTTCTGAACTTTACACATTAACAGTAATATGAGAGCTTGCCATTTTCTGAGACAAATCCCTCGTGGTTTGGCACAGTTCTTTTTTAATCAGCGCGTGCAACTGCTTCTCATCAAACTGAACAGGTCGGCAAGAAACGGAGAGTCTGTGAATTCGAACTTGAAACGGGAAAACCATTTCGGTGCCATTCTTTCGATAATGATGTCATCTCTGTAGACAGCACAAAAGTTTCGAGCAGCTTCGGCAGATTGATTAAATGCAAAGAGAATATGACGAACATGCTCATTCTTGTCTACTTGGCATTCCATCTTAAAGAAGTGTCCTTATCTGAAATAGAAGTTCAATAACGTTAGGCAACAGTTTCACCGGATGATCAGAGTTACAAGGAAGCAAAACATACTACAAAGAATTATTCTTCGAGATCATTTGCGGAACATCATAAGAAAACGAACGCATATATGCAACAATCTAATAGCGGTCTCCAGGCCCAATTTAGAAACGTTTGAATCAGCTGAAGAAGCCTGAAGTTTTAAGTTACATACATTCCATTTATAATTTTAAATCTTGCCATAAATGTCAATTTTACAACATTACTTAACAGATTTATGTGAGCTTGGAGTATTCTGGTTGAGTAGATGAAGCTTTAAAAAATGAAGTTGTAATATAATTTGGGGTTTATGCCAGAACCTATGAACACAAGATCAAATATAACTATAACATAAGATTAGCAAGAGGAATAATAGCACTTTTAGACTGAGACTTGTTAGAACAGTTCCTCCTGCTAGCGCGACGCAGGTTCGAATACATACGGCAGGCACTTGGCACGCAGAGGAGATATTACACATCAAGAGGCGAAATTTTATTCAGAGAAAGAATGTATTCGGTACAATATATATATATATATATATATATATCATATATATATATATATTTATATATATATACAGCTCATCAGTGTGACAAGACGTCCGATTGCCTCAGCAGGATCGAAACTCGACGTTGAATTGGCGTCAGTCGGAGATTCTTCCTCTAAGCCGTTGGCGCACGGCAGGGATGAAGGTGAATTTAAGTGTATTGATTTTAGATAAACACACGCACACATAAACACAAACACAAACACACAGACGTATATATACATATATATAAATAATAAAAATCTCAGGTTATTAAAAATCTCTCTCTCGATATATATATATATATATATATATATATATATATATATATATATATATATATATATAGATAGAGAGAGAGAGAGAGAGAGAGAGAGAGAGATTTAATAATCAGAAAGATTTTATCACTTAAACGTTATTTATAGTTTATTTATTAAACAGTATATTTATTTATTTTCGCTTTATCGGTTAAATCCTTCGTGGCCGAGTTGTTGTAAAGCACGTTGGATCTAACGGCAGTTCCTCCTGCTAGCGCGACGCAGGTTCGAATCCTGCTGAAGGGCGTATCTTTTCTTTAAAAAGATTTCTCTAATGTTCAGGCCGACAAACGAAAAATCAGCGAATTTAATAATCCGACATATTTTTATTACTTTACCCACACTTGAGCAGACGCTACGTTTATTTTAAACACCATTTTATTTCGTCTACTGAACTGAACATTCGAGAAATCTTATTAAACGAAATGCCCCATCGTAAATATGACGGATAAATAAATATAATCCTTTAATTCTTGAGAAATTGCTTTGTTTACATTTCACATACAAAATTTAGCAGATATGAGTTTCGGGAAAACCGAACGTTTAAACAGAACCTTGCTGTATTAGGAAGCTCTTCGTATTCAAAGCACATCGGATCAACAGTTTATCCTGCAAAAGGGTTCGAAATCAGTCATAGAGCGCATTTTTTAATAAAATTTCTCGAATATTTAGGCCAGTAGACGAAATAAAATAGTGTTTAATATATATATATATATATATATATATATATATAATGGACTCTCCCGTCGGTTTCGACGTATGAGGATCGGACAGCTTAATTGTTTCAGTTATGAAATTTTGTGCGATAATCTTAAGTGGCACTTAAGACCCGCTAGTTATTTACAAAGGATGCCACATGTGGAGCAAGAGTGAGGATTGTGCGATAAGATCACTGTTAGATTGGCTGACCTTTTAGATCTTGCAAATCAAGATAAACCGCCAGAAAATCCAGACAAATGATTTGATTAAAGTGGTAAAGGCTTGTGCAGAACCATCCACACTTTTCGGAACTACTGATACACTCAGTCGGTGCAATTAAATGCCACAGACAAAGCAAACAATAGACCTTATTCAATCATATATATATATATATATATATATATATATATATAAGGAAAAAATAGGAAATCTATATATATTTGACATGTTTCACTATTTAGTTTCAGATGAAACTTTAGAGTGAAGTGGTTCGTATTGTGACGGAGAGAGAGTCTGAAACACACACACATATATATATATATATATATATATATATATATATATTAGTGGAATTGGAGTGGATTTGAACAGCGAAAGTAAATCAGAGCAATTTCGTTTACTGATGGGAAATCTGATCTAGGACACGAGCTGTACCCATTGGATCTGGGTCATTAGCAGACAATGGAAATGGTCGAAACAATTTTTATTGATTAAACTTGGAATAGATTTTGAATAGTGAAATTAAGTCAGAGCATTTTGTTTACTGATGTGGAAATTTGATTTAAGCCAGAAGTTGTACCCATTGAATCTGGGTCATCAGAAGACAATGGAAATGGCCGAAATAATTTTTATCGATTAAAAATTGAAATAGAGCTGAGTAAGCTAGAAGGACCTTTTGAATTCACATGATTTTGGTTGAAACAGCCAAAACTCCGTGATAATCACGTGCGACCAAGGTTCAGTTGTAATCAGCCGGATTTTTCTATATAAACGCGTAGTTATGCTGAAAAAGACAGACGGGAGAAATTTCTTGAAGAGAGCAGAGAGAGTTGGCCCGGGCGAGCGTGCAAACGGGTTAGCGTTGAGACGGAAGAGAGAGACGGAAGAGAGCAGACGGGCGAGCGTTGAGACGGGAGAAAGACGGGCGAATGTTGAGTCGGACGAAGAAAAAGACGGAAAAAGCAGACGGTAGTGGTAGACGGGCGAGCGTTGTGACGGAAGAAAGTGACGGAAGAGATTGGAACGAAGCGTCCGCTAACATGTACTGTTGATATCAATACCGCTGCTTCTGCTACCACGAATATTACTACTACTGTTTCTACTGCTAAGGAGGAACGCCACTATAAACTTTAAACCGTGCACAAAAATTTTATTTCTCCATCGCAAGAGTCGTATATCGTTCTGAGACGATTTAACAACAAGTTAACTATCTCTCTCTCTCTCTCTCTCTCTCTCTCCAGAATTTGGTGTATGCGTTTTTTACGTCATTTACTTTTCTTTTCTGTAATCCATTTCTTTTCTATATTATTCTTTTCTGCTATATAAAAGACATTGACAATTCAATCATTGAATAGTTGTTTGTCTGTCTTTCTGCAGATTTTTTTTTTTTTTTTTTTTGCTGCATCTAAATTTCTTAGCACAGACTCTCCATCCGTGTCTACATCTTCAGTCGATCGTTAATGGATGAACCTCACTTCTGCTTTCTGGAATTTAGAATCCTGACACTCAGAGAGCAACAAAAAGCTGAATCCGAACACTATCAAAAAATCTTGGAACTGTTGCTGACGGTTTCTGTTAGTAAATAACAAGTAAAACCCAATAAACGTCCTTTACTTTCGACATACTTTCCTTCAAATGTCTGCTAACTGATGGCTGTCACTTTGTCTCCTGCCATTCTTTCCTTTTCTTCATTTTTCTTTGTGTACCCCAGCTTCTTTTATTCAAACCATCCTTCGCTTCTTCCTGTTTCCCTCTTCTTCAACATTTCTTTTCTTTTCTTTCTACAAACCCTTCTTTACTCAACACACTTCCTTCCTATTTCGTCCCAACACATATCTTTTGGGTGGACGAATATGCACACTTATAAAAACAATTTTAAGGTTGTCGGTGAAAGTAAAATTTCATATTACCAACTAAATATTTTTCTTAACTTTATACTTTTAACGTTTACTAAGCCTAGCAAAAACCTCAAGTGTGTAGCACACAGTGAAACTCAAACTCTCTTGTGTATAAGACTTGGCAAGTCAAGGCGCCCTAGCCACATATATTGTTATTGCTGTTAATTTTCAGGACGTTTTGAAAGCTATATTTATCTCTATTTATTTGGATAAGTTTAATAATGTGAAGCGTGATTATCCACCTCACGTATCTAATTAATTTTCTTTCTGTAAACATTTTCTTAGCCTACTATATTTCTTTAAGTGTTTCTCTCTTCCTTCCAAAACCCACTCCTTTGCACATATTGTCTTTCTTCCTTTCTCTTATTTATTATCTTTGCTATTTGTTCATTCATCTTCTTTTCCTCACTTTTTTCTTTTACCCTTTCTTCTCCGTTCCGCTTTCTATATTGTTCATGCTTCCATTAAAACTTTATCTCTTATAATCGCTAAAGAAAAAAAATATTTTTTCCTTATTCCCTATTTCTCTTCCCTTTCTACTTTCATTTTCTTTCTTACTTCTTTACTCTTTTCCCTTCATATTTCCTTTCTTCCCTTTTTTTCCTTTTTCTCTTTTTTTCTCCTTTTCCTTTCTTTCTCCATTTCTAATCTCTCTTACCTTCCCGTTCTTTTCTTCTTCTTTCCTTCCCTCCATTAGACATCCCCTTCTTTTTTGCAGACAACAATCTTACGTTTTGTTTGTTTACAGCCCAATACAAACACAACCACTACCACCATCATTCACATTCGTCCTATTATCACATAGTTTCAAAACACCCACGCATCGGTTTTCTTTTTCTTTCACGTGACCAATGTGAAAACGTTTAGCATTCCACGTCGTCTCATGAATAATGATGACGGACGAAATAGGGGGAATAAGCCGATAGCAACGCGCTCACTTTAAAATAATTGGATTGCGTTGATGTTCATGTATAAACAGACACTTCCCTCGCTAAAAATAACTCATCCTTTTTTTTTTTTAACCACTGCTTTCTTTTATCCATTTTCCCGCCTTTTCGTCTTTTCTCCATGTTTATTCCTTCCATCAAAAAGCAGGTCTCTGAGACTGAAAGATAATTTATTATATATATTTTATCAACTGGATTAATTCATAAATTTTTTCAGTTATACAACTACATATTTTAGATGAACCCTAAACCTAGAAGCCAGCTGCAGAAAACTGACCATGGGACGATTGTAGCTGTTAATAGAAAATAATTAAAATTTGTGATGTCAATGAACACTCGTTGCCACTTTTTTAATGTCAACGAATACTCGTTGTCACTTTCGTAATGCTCGTTGTAGTAGAGACTTTGTAATCGCAGATACAACTATAGTACGTCGTTGAACATTACTGGTGTAAGGGCCTACTGGTTGAAAAAATTATTTTTGGAACATTGGGGTTACCAATTGTAAAGGTGTCCGTTTGTAGATAGACGAATACTATTTATATTATTATACTTTCTACGTACGGGATTCAAGTAAACAACAAAAACTCCAAACTGTGAATCAACAAGAAGTATATATTGAAATAACATACAACAACAAACATGCAATAAAATTGTATTCAATGTATAGATTAAGGGAAAGAAGTTGTCCCCCTTTAATTGTATTTTGATTTGTAATTGATTGTTCGAAGAAAGTTGTTTTTGAGAGAAAAATGTTCAGGAATCAATATTAGAACAAGGTATGTTTGTTAGAATAGATAACACAAGAATACAATTGATCAAAAATGTGTTATGTTATAGAATGGTTCGAAATCAACAGAGTCCTGATTGATTGAGCTTGGATGAGTCACAGGGAGAAATGTAAGTTTATATTACGAAATTCTGTGTCTGTGTGTGCGTTTGAAATGTTATGAGCAAGATCGTGGACTTGTATGGACAGGTGAATTTTACTGGATATTACTGACGACTTGTGAAAAAGTCGCCTTTTTTTATGGAAAAGGGGTAGGCTCCCACAGCAACGCGAGAAAGTTTAATCTTGCACTAAAATATGTGATTGGTTAAAAATTAACCAATCACTACATTTGTACTAACAGAACAAGCAAGCAAGCTCAAAACCAAAGGATTCAAAGAAACGACTGTGATGGCTAAATTGTCCTATATAAAAGTAGTAGTGATTTATTAGCCAATCGGAGGCGAATAAAATGTGGGCGTGGAAAAACATAGCAATCGCTACACTGGTGTAAGACGCCTTCGAATAGCACTCGCACTAATAGTACTTGCTCGATAATACTCGCTCGAAAAGTAACCACCGTGTAGTGATCTGAATAGAGAAATAGTATAGTGAATCGTATAGAGAATAGCGATCCGTATAGTAATAGAGGATAGTGTAGAAATAATGATCAATTAGACGTCACGCTAATCCCCATATATACATTTCATTTACGGTCACGTGATCTACTTAGTCAAAATTGGATCGCCTGTGTTTGCTCACTGGCGATCTATATTCAAACTCCAGAGTCGGCAACGATACTTTATTTCTATACGACAAATTTTAAGATTGATATTAAAACAAGTATAATCGATGTAGTCGTTTAAAATTGCACAACTCCTCACTTGCATTATATGTAGTCGCATAAGTGAAAAGTGCCTTAATTTTATATATTTTTCTCTGCTGTTCTGGATAAATCATTAGACTTTCTTTCTTGCTTCTATAGAAATAGAATCAACGACTGGCAGAGAATGACAATAATTCAATATCATCATCATCATCATCATCATAAGTCCTGTGACCGGAGGTGCTCATGGGGTCGCTGAGCACCTGACCAATTCTCTCCATATATCTGCCCTAGACCTGTTCATTCATGCGCAACGTATATTGGGCAAAGATCAAACCACAGCCGATGTCCTCAAACTTGAAGGGTTGCCTTTGTCATAGTCACATGACCGTTGATTTCTTCATGGGAACCCTCCGCTGTGGCCATTGACTAAGAAGGAAATCCTTCGCCAATGATACCGTGTCGTCACCGCAATGGCCGTGGAGCCCAGTTTATTCTATTGTACTAGATGGCTGTTGGCCCTAAAGAGTTTTGATTTTTTTTTTATCCTGCTGGGTGCCTAAACATCCTCTCAGTCGCCGATGAACAGACCATGTGGCGGGTTTCTTGGTACCAGTCGCACTCGTAGAGTGACATAACTTAATGGATATTCTCTGAATGTAACCATATATTTGTTGGACTAAGACCAACTTCAGTCCCAAACCAGATTCTTAGAACATATAAGTTAAGTAGTTCATGGCCAATTCAAAACGGTATTTTTTGAATTCTGAGTTTTGGCCAGATTTCAGGAAATGGGTTAGGCCAAGAATTTTTCAGCGCCTCTCGTACAATAAGAAATGAACTCCGTATGAACTATCTTATATAACAAGGAATCTAAATATATAGTATTACAAGAGGCGATCGATCCTCTCTGAAGACAAAAAACAACTTCACCGTTCACAGATGTTAGAGTTTGTCGGAGTTAACTCCTCCTTTAGTTCGTTAACCCTTTCACCAGGGGTCTCTCTTCCCTGGCTATAAATAGCCGCTGACCCTTCGCCTCTTTCTCTTTCTCTCTCAGGCCTTCGCGTCGACACCTGGAGCTAAATCTCTCTTTTTCCTCAGGCTTTCAGCTTACAACCTCGAAATGTAGGCGCTAACAAGGGATAGCGTTTCTCAAAGTGTTGGGAACACGCTAAGCACAATACACACACACACACGCACGCACATACAGAGTATTCACACACACACACTTTGTCCGTTGTAACTGTTTTCGTGTAACTTGTTATTAATATATATTTGTATACATATATTAACGGTCTTGTGTTTTGTTTGTTTTCTTTGCCTTCTTCCAACCTTTTTATGTAGTTGGGCCGGCAAGCAGGAGAATCTGAACCCACATGTGTTTCTTCTACTTCTACTCAACAACATTACAGCCACGGTCCACTACAAGTTTTTACTTAGGAAAGAGCTTCGGCTGTATAATACTGGTTAGTGTTCTAATCTTCCAAGTTACTAATAATGGGTTTAAAGTGGTAGGTGAGGGCTTCATAATTGTCGCCTTCTGTCAATGTCGCTTAATAAACTTTCAGAGAACAAACAAGATAAAATATCTTTGCCCGAGATGTTGAAAAGGTTATCGATTCGAATCATTTCCCAGAATCCATATTCTGTTTGGTCATTGAAATACTAAATTTCAGAAGCACTGAAGAGGACTCACAATACTAATTGTTTAGGTGGGAGCCCATCTAGATTAACTGTGTGTTCTCTAACAAAATTTGAACAAACTCAAAATAATTGAATTCAATCAACATATACATGTATTAACGATATAATGTTAACGATTTTGTTAATTGACAAGTTGGTGTTTTTTAGTTGACAAGTTGTGAATTTGAAGGAAACCTGTAAAAATGTTAATTTCCTACCAAATCTAAGTCCTTGTACCAGACACAAAACTTGGTAGAAACAGCAAGTCACGATAATGGGCGCGAAATTACAAAACAAGACGACTCCTGCGTAAAATTTTAAAAAAGGAAAAACATTTATTTTTTACAATATTAAAAAAAGTGTACAAATACAAAGTATCAAAAACATTTCTTTCTGTGCGCCTATTACAAAAAAATAACAATTTTCTGGCGTTATAAAAAGGGTATTACCACCAAATATAAGGAAAAAGGGTTACAATTTTTAGGAAAATACACAGATTCAAAGACAAAATACACTCTTTAAATATGAAGAAAGGGAAAAACTTTGAGGAAGTAAAAAAAAAAAAAAACAAATATTGCACAAGGCAAAAAAAAAGTACAAGCGCGCACTTACCTGCGTTGTTCAGCTCGAAAGTGTTTCGTGTTTTCAAGTTTTTTTTTCTCGAACGCTTTTTGAAGATTTTTGCAGTAAAGTTATTTAGTGAGTTCTTTCGACTTTAATTCATCTCAGGAAGGCACAGAAAGGAATTTCAGTTCTGCATTAGAATCTGCCTTGAATCTATCTGATCCTTCTTTCACAGTGTTGATTTATGACCCTCCCCCACCCCTCAACCAGACCAGTCCTCTTGAAGCGTGGGCGCTCATGCCTTCAACTGTTAAATAGCTTTTTCGTCAACGGTTCATTCTTTCTTTCTGCTCTTTATCCGCTGATAGCAGTCCTTTTTTTATTGAAAAAAAAAGGAACCGTCTTATGCGGCTCTCATTAGCCAATAAACCCTTCTCCAAGAATTCGAAAAATGAATCTGCGACAAATCAACAAATAATTTTGGTGGTCAACCGCTTGAGCCGAAAGAGCCATAAAAATGTAACAATTCAAATATTCTCTCAAAAAAATGTGTATTAAAAAAAACAACCTAGACGATTATACATTTACAAGTCTACCATTTTTAAAATAGTAAAAATAAAATTAAATTTTTATAAAACCTATACACACACACATACGCTTCATTAAAAATAACGGGCAAATCACTTCTGTTAAGTATTTTATTTTCTTGTATGCAAATACGGGATTTTGTTTTTTTGGACTTAATGATTGTAGAAATTGTGCAAACGATTGTTCATTCAGAGCAATTTCTGATAATCTACAAAAGAAAGACTTAACAGAATTACGTTGTCAGTCATTTGTAATAAAACATGTATTACAAAAGATATTTCTACCCAAATACATATATGTGTGTGCTTGTATGTGCGTGCGGTTCTGCTAGCGTGAAGCCACAGGTCATCATGACAGAGGGTTTAAGCATACTGGCCTTGTTCAAACTGTTAATCATTCTAGATGATGTACTTTCTCCCAGAAACTGTAACTAAGGTCCGCTCGACATAGTTGCAGTATAAAACATAGGTTGGCTCTGTAGGTATTGAACAAACACAAATGTGCCTGAACAGATCTCTGCACAACAGAGACTAGCATTCTCGGAAATGCTTACAGTGATATATATATATATATATATATATATATATAGTGTGATGGGTAAATTGTCGCCATTTTATATTTTTAATATTGCGCATGTGTTGTTTGTTTTTGATTTTGTCGACTGCACAGTATAGTGGGGTCAGTTGGGCACCGTTTGTGAGAGAAAAAGAGCACCATGACGCAATTCACTCCGCCAGAAATTTGGAAACGACATGCTGTACTGCTTGGCATTCGCGCCGGAAGTTCCAATACTAACATTGTTTGGTTGACAGTCAAGAGAGAAAAGAGTTGGATGTGTCTACTGGTGATTACGAAGATACGGCAGCTCAGAAAACACACCCTGATCGTTCTGATAAGAAAGGGAACCCAGAATTTGTTGGTGAGGTCCTCAGACTCAACATGGAGTACCTTGAGGAGTAGTGCTGTTCTGGGCCAAGAGAGTGGCTGCTGGAAGGCCCTGTTTGGTAACATATAAATGTGAATGTCAGTGTGTCACTGTAACATACTTTTTCAACTTTACTCCTAATGGCTGTAGAATCCGGAATCATGTTGACTCCGTAAGCAAAATTAAAAATATTCCAGGCCAGATCTGGACCCAGAATCCTGAAATATTTTATTCCCAAGTTTTCGTTAATGCGATTTTTTTCGGATTCCGCCATATTTTCTTCTAGTGATAAAAACAATTAAAGGGACCCAACTTCCTAACTTTCAATAGCTCATGTTGAAATGAAAAAATTACAGTTCTCAAATTACAGTGTTTCAAAATAAAATTGTCCATGTTTACAACTTTATTCCTAGAGGCTGTAGCCCAACATAGGCTATTTGAAAATCTGTAAGCAAATTTAAAACATCTGGACCTGCAATCCTGAAATTTTGGATTCACAAATTTTCATTGCTGCAATTGTTTTCACTGATTTTTATGTGATTTTTTGCAACAAATTTTTTTGTATAATAACAGTTTTTATAACTTGAAAATAAATTTGGAAATAATCAATATTAATTGTGAAAACCATCAAAAGTCACCCATGAAATAAAAACAATTTTTTATCTGGAAAGTAAGGACATATGTACATCAAATTGTCTTTAAATTAAGTGGCAGTAGAAGGATTATCTTTGGACTTTTAAAAGGTAAGCTTAAATATTAATGCAATACTTAAATGCAGCAATTTTGAGTTCTCCTGTAGTTTATTGTTGCCTATTGCATCAACCCCTTTCTAACTATTGTGATGAAGTCCCAATCAGGAGCCCTCCACAGGAACTAGATTAAATACCACTTTCATTTATTTTTCAACATTTTGAGTCATTCTCATGTTTACTGGGACACATTTTAATATAAACTGTCCAATGAAGTATTTTCAGATATCAAAGAATTTAGTGTTTTTAATATTATATAGTTGGTTTCTTCCTTTTCAAATGAGTACATTACCTTGTATTAGGCAATAGTTTGTACCATCAATTTTTTTTTATATTTTTATATTATTATTGATCTCTCTCTCTCTCTCTCTCTTCCTATGTATTAATTATCTACTATAAAAACCTTGTTATCAGAAATGAAAATTCACTTGCAAGATCCAAATTACAGAGAACCAATATTATTTATGAATTCACATGTCCCTTAAGGAATTGTGTTCCTAATCACCCCAAATTCGTAAATAATTATATTGGATATACCACAACATGCCTGACAAGAAGACATGTTACATCTCTCTGACCATAACTCAACTGGGTCTCGTTTAAATACACATGGAAAAAAATATTGTTTAAAAAAAAATTAGTTTTGAAGAAACAAACTTGTTTAAATTGTTTGTAAATTCTTTAAAATTCTGTCATTAAAAAAAAAATTACTTTTGCTGAAAATCTTATTTCCTCTCTCATAAAATCACTTTCAAAAATTATAAAAAGTATTTTGTCAAAATTGATTTTTCCAATGTGTTAACATCACAAATGTTGCCACAGTAAGTTTATTGATTCATTTTCTACGGCTTATCAACCCTTTGGAGGTTATTTTAAGCCAGATTGTAAGAATTTTTTTTGGAGATAATAATGATTTAATGTTTCAATTCTTACTAATTAACCCATACTTGGGGGCGAAAAGAGGTGTGTTCATACCTTTCCTAAAGGTATTTATGCATAAGTGAATATAACAAACCCAACTGGAATTGGGACTCTGCTCTACAATTAACAATTCCAAGCCATTATCCATTACACCACCCACACATCCAAACTCACAACAACTAGTATTCCCAAATGGTCACCCATCTAGGTACTGACCAGGATCGACGTTGCTTAACTTCGGTGATAATACAGGAAGCAGTGTTTCAACATATGGTTGTAAGTCTTATGACTTTTTTATTGCAAACTGCAAGTGTCATTGAAAGATCCCCCATACATTCATTTGAAAAATAATTATCGCTTAGTAAATGTTAACTAGGGACGCTGATCCAACACTAGACTGAAGTCCTCGTTTTAGTACCTACAGTTCTCACAAATATGCTAAATCAGTGACAAATATAAAATCGTTAAATTTTTGAGCGTTACAAACATCAAAGGGAGGTAACAATGCTAGTAACAGGCTAAAGGGAGGTAATCAAAATAATCTTTTGATTTTCTTTTATTTTAAATAACAAGTTAAAAGTGAAAAATGAGTGTTTATGCTTAAGATTCAAACTGAAATTGTGCACGTTACATTTTTAGCACTTTTATAACAATGTCTTGAATTAGAAGTATTTGAAATTATCAGGTGCTGTAAGTAAACGAACATTTATTGAATGACTCCGGATACTTGAAACAATCAATAATTTGTTTGATAAGCAGAGTCAGCAGCATTATAATTTTTTAAATTATTACTTACACTCCAAGGTAATGTGACAGCTAACAGTAAAAAAATCTCTTAACAAAATTCTCCTCTAAGAAGGCTTATAAATAATAATTTGTGTATTTGCTGCAGGTACTGATTAGATTCTCCATTGTCTTGGCTTTGAGGTAAATGGGTAAGAATATTTAGTAATAATTCTCTATCTAATTTTCATCACATATCAGCTATAAGAAAGGATGTCAATTTAATGAGAAAGAGAAAAGAAAGCATAATGAACTATTTTTAAAAATATATAAAAATTTAGCTATATTTTGATGTTATCTAGGTATATATTTTAATATTATTGCTCTCTCTCTCTCTCTCTCTATATATATATATATATATATATATATATATATATATATGTGTGTGTGTGTGTGAAAAGTGTATATAAATATAAATAAATATAAGTATGTATAATTATTTATATATTATATGCACGGTACTTATTAGAAAGCACTCAATATCAGAGATAGAGCTAACATATTTGGTTGGACAGATGTGAGTTTGCGACCCTGGGTTTCACGCTTTTAGTGATCGTCAGACAAACCCTGTTTGTCTGACGATCGCTAAAGCATGAAACCCAGGGTCACAAACTCACATCTATCAACCAAAATATATATATATATATATATATATATATATATATATATATATATATATATATATATATCTTGGTATACATTTTCATATCATCTAGGTATTTTGATCTTATCTAGGCATAAGAACTAGAAAAAGAAAACTATAAGTGGTATATTTTTAACAGGCAATACATTAAGCCAATATAATTTTAGAAAAATATTCTCAATGTCTCAGTGGTATAATATGAGATAAATCATCACATGATAAAGCAGGGTGTTATGAAATGGATAACAAATCAGTAAATAAAAATAAGTATTCTTTATTAAAAACAAAAATTAACAAAATGTGTGTCTGGTCCTTGAAAATATTGTTTGTTTTTAATTTTTCATAAAACAAAATGGCAGTTATGTAAGAGGTAGGTGAAAATTTGTGACGTGAATGAGTCGTGTTAATTTGCTCCTGACAAACACAAGGATGCTCTGTAGTAATGATGATGAATTCAATGATGAGTTACAACATGACAATAGATGAAATATATTTAACAGATTTTCCAGAATATCCCTTACATTTATGTTGCGTCTTTCATGCTTCGATGTGTGTTTTTCTGTCATAATCACTAAGTGTACAATTTCTCAAACTGTTCCCAACAATGCTCACCATTAATATTGTAACTGTAAAATTATTAGTTTCCAGTTAAGAAAAGCTACATGTAAATAGCCAGATTATTTTACTTCTACCACATTACTGCCCAAATCTGGAAAAGAGAAGTGACATTTTTTACATTTTTCAGATTAAATCAATTTTGATTCAAGTGAAGTAAGTGCTATCATTATGTGTTCATTTTTTTTCTGTCAACATTAAATTGTAACAAAACAATATTATGTGGTACCAAATCATTGACAGTTGCAGAGAAATTTCAAAACCAAAATCTGTTTGCAAATAAAAAAAAAAATTCACTTACTTATCCAAAAATGGGAAGATTACTGAGTAACTGAAGAGGAAGCCTATCAAGTGTTAAAACACAATCCTAACCTGAACAATTAGAAAATTATCTTTTGATGTAGTTATTGAATATAAAATAAGTTTATTATATTGACACTATACTCTTCCTAAAATAAACATTAACTCAGAACAGAATATCAGCCAGCCAGTAAACGGATTGATGATGGCATCATCAGCTCAGCTTGGCTGTTTAGAAGTCAGAGAGGTGTTACTCTAATAGTCAGCTTAGGTAAGAAAATAGTGTTTTTTGTAACATATATATTTACTTAATACAGGATAATGAATTATATTAAAAAAAAAAAAAAAAAAAAAAAAAACACCTATATGTATACTAAATATTTTCACTTTTATTTTGATAAGCTTCAGTCAGTCAGTTAATTGCCATACATGATACATGCTTTCAATTCATGACTGACTAGGCACAAGATTTTAACCACAGTAGGTTGCCATTTCTTTCTGCGGTAGACTGGTTGCTGACCAAAGCTACCGGACCTAGTCTGACCTACTATTCAATACATATCAGGGGGTGGAGAGAAGAGATAGACTCATACTTTTCCCCAAATGTATTTGCATGTAAGTGAATGTAATGAACCTTACTGAAATTTGAACTTGGCTCTCTGATTTCTCATATAAAGCCATTATCCATAACACCACCTGCACATCTCTTGATAAGCTTACAAAACTGAAAATCCAATGTTACTAATGTAAAAATCTTAAATTTCATCTTCTGTTCAGTCTGAGTTTACATTCTGAATTATCATTTCTCACCTATTAAAGTAAAAATTATTCATGATGATTTCCATTTAGCAGTTCATTGACCATTTTGTTTTCATCAATAGTACTTTATTTCTGTTTATGTAATATCTGCTTCCCCATTACGTCTCTTCATTTGCTTCCCCAAAACTGCTATTTTTATTGTATGTCCTTTCATTTTGTGATTCATCGACATCATCATTGTCTTTTTTGGTTTCTTGCATCTGCTTCCACTTCTTGGCCATTGCCAGCAGTTTCAGATTGGGCTGAGCAGATTCCTCATCTGGAAAGATGTAATCAAAATATTCCTCCCAACCAGCATCCGACTGAAAAAAAAAAAAATAAAAAAAATGAAGCCATTATACATAACCAATAATGTAGAAAGGAATTCGTTTTTTATTTCAAGAAAAATATATAATAAATAGAAAATGAATTTACAATCTCGACCCTACCAGAAAGTTCACGGTTACCTTCTAAATATTTTTTGTATTTTGGAATATAACCCCTTTAAAAAAAAAAAAAAAATAATAATAATAATTTTTAAATTAATAAATTTAAAAAATATATAAATTAGGTTGTCCCCACATAGGCACTTTGTCATAAAAGAAGTTCCAAGCCTAAAAATGCTTTTTGATTTCTTTATCATTATTATTATAAGAGAGATAACTGAAATACAAACAGGACATATTATAATAATGTCTACAAAACTGAATTCATTTCATTAAAAGATGAAAGAAATTAGTTTTGGGCAAAAAAGCAAGAAATTTCCTTTGGGTTGGGGGTGCAGGAAAGGGGAGCATAATACCAGAAATTAAACATTCCAACACCTTAAGTTTAGAAATATTTTTCTCAATATTTCAGTTATGTTTTTAACAAAAACTGCTTAAAAAAACTACAAAGGACAATCAATTAATTCATGAAAAAACTGCTTCTTATCAAATGTAAAAACTGTTTTCTCTTGTTAGTTCAGCAAAAATGCAGATTATCTAAATCTTAATTAAAAGTTTTGTGATTCTCCAACTTAAAACAATTAGCTTTTGCTGATGACCTGAATTTCCAAACTAATCTTTTTAAAAATCATATTTCTAGCATTTAGTAATTAAAAGAAATGATATTCACAAAGTCTATTATTTTTATTCTTTTGTAAATAGCTACAAAATATTTACTTTTTCAGATCTATATTTAGACAAGGTATGAACAACCTTTTACAACTCGTAGACTGCAAGAAATACTGCTCATCATCAATCAGACTAAATGACTAAAAGAAAATTTAACAAATACTTTAATTATTGTATCTGGTTTAATTTGACTATTCTAGGATAGGATATGATAACAGAAAATTAATATCATCTGATAGAAGGGACGCAACTCTATAAAAAAAAGTACAAAAAAAAAAATTCTAAGAAACATTGGGAAAAGATTTATTTTTTTTTTTTTATATATCAAAACAATTCTAGTCAAATCTATGACAAAGATGTGCATGTGTAGTCACATCAACATAAATATCATGATGTTCCAAAAGAATGAAACGCATCACACGAAAAACTTTTTCCACTTTGCCATAGATTTTCCTAAAATACAAAACATCGCCTGTCTATATTTCTGAGATGAGGTATTGTAACTATTTACACTATTTATATTGTTCAGACTGTTGCCATCTTTAATGTCATATTCAAGCTCCGGCCTTCTTCAAGTGATATACATTGAAAGAACCGAGCCTTTTGGAATTTCGAACCCTTTCACCAAAAGAAAGCTTGAGCGTATAATGGTTGAATTTGACAATAAAGATGAGGACAATAGTCTAAAAAATATAAATAGTGTCAATACAAAACATTGTATTTATTTATATTGCAAGAAAAAAAAAATTATTTAATAAGAAACTTGATGTCAGACATATTTTACTAAATTTTCAATATCTGGAGATATTTAAGATGCTGCAACCTGTGAATTGTCTTTGATATGATTAGTTGTCAATCTTGTTCTTGTTTTAAATTCCATGGCTTTTTATTCAAGGATATTTATAAGTACATGCTGTCTAACATGGTAGCATATCTACTAATGGAGCCCATAGTTTGAAAGTAGGATTCTTTAATAAGAATTGAATAAAACCGCACTAGATATTCATCTTTAAATTTCTGCTGGTGAAGTTTATCACTTTGAAATTCAATTATTTCCAATTCCTTTCAAGCTATATTTTCAACATGAATATTAAATGAATTTGCAAAATGGTGATAATCAGCTTCTCTAAATTTTAAGTGATTAAATCTAGAGTGCAGATCCTTTTTTTTTTTTCAAGTTCTTTAACTTATCAGCATAAATACGTCATTGTGATGAAATTTAAGGAAAAGGAAAATATTATCAGTTCTCAATTGATTCTCCTAAATTTGAAATTTCATTACAAAAGCTAACATGAAACACATTAATCCATTAAATCCTATTTTTGAGATGGTGGCTGTTATAGATAGAATACTTTCATTAATACTGGATTTTTTTTATAAACCTTTAAGTAATTTTTAATTTTTTTTATAAACTTATAATACCAAATTTATTTTTTAACAACCTATAATTAATAGTAGATTTTAATTTTCCTAATTAATACCAGATTTTATAGTGGGTATCAATAGATTAATTGATTTCCATACTAGAATTTTAAATTAAATTTAAATAAATAGGTTCTATTTTGTTTCTTTGAATAAATAGGTCCTATTTTTAAAAAAAAAAAAAATCATAAATCCAGTTATTATTCTTCAACTTGTAGACACATTTACTTTTAATTTCCAAGAGGCTGCATACTTATTCTCTGAGGCTTAAAAACTAATAAAGCATCTTCTCTTTGTTTAACCTGATCACCATCAACTGTATCAAGTTCTTCTAAAAATTCTTTCTTTAAAGTGGTTATGATTAAGTATTTGCTATTTTAAAAATATGATGCTTGAAACAATGACAATTTTTTTTAATTTTACCAACTTGGTATATAAATTCTGTTAATGAATTATGCAACAAAATGTTACAAAGTCACTCTCTACTAAATTTTAAAAAAACGGTTTCCGATTTTAATCCAGCAAGAATGCTCATTTTAAGGCCAACCACTGCAGGGGTTTCATCTGTTGAAACACCGACAACCCTTACAACTTTGTTATTCTTTCATTGTAGATATTGTTTTCTGCAAAAGTTTTTTCATTGTTTGAATACAAAGCATTACTGGAGTAACATTAAAGGTTTTATCAACGCCGTATATAAAAACTAAGTTGATTTGAATTTACTACAATATTACTTTTGTTAATAGCCACTGATAATGTCCATTGACTTTTCTGCTAGTATAATCTTGATATTGGCTGCAATTTTTAGTCTTGTTTTTTAAGACAAACTAATCATTTCAAACATCTAATTTTTCCAAGCATAAAAATTCAGCAACTGCCAGAAAACATTTTTCACAAATAGTTTTTAGAATGTTTATCAACTTTGTCATGAACATAGTTTGCTTGCACAGCTGCTCCAACCTTTGTCAGCCTTTTTAGAAAAGGAGGTAAGACTAATGATCCGTTTCTTTAGCATTTCAATGTTAAGCTTTCTGATATCATCTTTGGATTTTCCAATAATGTTTACTAACATAATGACACTTAACATTGAATTCTTGAAATGTGGAGAAAGAGCCAAAACATAAGGCACATTGGTCTGCTTTTCATTTCAGCAAAGAAGTTATCATTTGTCCACTTAACCTAAATTTTTTTTCAACTTTTATAAAGACATATAAATATGTCTACAGCAGTGGAAGTGTTAATATCAATGATTTATAATATTTCATTGAATAAAAATAAAATAGAATTACAAATACAATGATTCTAGAATTCAAAAGCTATCATCTTTTGCTACATCAAATCTTAATTGATACAAATCATGGGAGGATGGAATTAAAAAAAAAAAAGAAAAGATTTTGATAAAACGTTATTATACTGGTATAATCATGAAAGTGTGCTATAGAGAAAACCAAAAACTGAGCATATGCAGTCCACACGTCACAGATTACCTATAAGGGATTTAAACCCTTCAAAGTTCTAAGATTACTTGTGATACAAAGAAGAGGACATAATTATTGACATAATTTGTATAAAGATGTTCCCATTAGACAGTTTGGGAAAAAAGATTGAATTCTTACCCCATCCTCTGTATGGATCTTTCGTCTCTTTTTAATCTTCTGTGGCATTAACTTCATTACCATTCGTTCTGACGCTTCATCACCAACCTCTTTCTGTTAACAGAAATTAATATTTTTAGTTAAGTCTCATAAACACAAAAAATTGTAATTAAAACTTATTATTTCACTTATTATTCATCTCACCATAATTTCCAAGCCTCAAACCTGGAGAGTTTTCAATTTTTATTGTAAGTTTACATCCTTGCATAATAAAGTTTTTATAATCCAACATCCTGTTTAGCTTCTGGGCTAACAGAAGTAAAAAAAATAAAACAAGTACTGGGGCAATCCTAGCCAAAACCAGGCATGTGACAAGCCTACCCTTAAGTCCAGAATAAAGGGGTAGGTTAAAAAGAATTTTCCAGCCTACTAAAATTATTTTGTTTTTGGCATAACAAAGGAGGAAGTGGAGGTTGAAAAATGTGGAAAATAAAATAAATGAGGGGTCTGCAATGACAATGAGGAGATTGGAAAAAAATAAAAATTAATTTAAATAGCTGGGTAGACCTGTCTATCCCCAACACAATCATTAAAGGGTTATTTCTAGTTGCTATTGTTTCAAGCTAATTAAATATTCTCCACCAATGATTCTTGTCTTGATGTGGTGGTGGGGGCTTATGTATTCCAGCAACCAAAAAGCTTGGCTTGCAGGAGTATGTCTCCTGGCAAATCCAACCAAGCTGGGTAGTTCAGAAGACCAGGGATTAGACTAAACAAGAAGCAATGGTATGTAGCATGGCAGATGTGCCAATTTAATGGAGGAATAAATCTCAATCCACCCACAACTGTCAGACTCTCAAAAGGATGCTTCCCCAATCACTACAATCTTAACCTCTTCAAGTCTAGAACCAACGATTATCTATCCTACATATCCTTATAATATCCACCTTTTACTCTCTCCTTATACACACTTTATACAACCTCATTCAGTAACCCTCTACCTTGAATGCTTCTTGGGTCTTGTATTGAGTAAACAATAGTATAAAATTTTTTTTTTAAATAACAATGGTGAATCATGCACAATGCTGAAAATGCCAAAATTTCTAAGATCACAACAAAAAAACAAAATGAATACCATCTATACCAAATGAGTAAAAAAGAAAGTAAAACAACTTGGCGAAATGAAATTACAAAATAACTGGGAGGACAAAATGTTGCATGGTAAATACCTAAAAAGAATGAAAATACCAATAGTAATCGGAGCTCTGGGCCTCATGAGAAAAAGGAATGGACAATTTTACTAACAGTGTCCTAGGCAACATCAACATCAAAGTTGCCCATAAGATTGCCCTACTAGAAACATCCCATATACTAAGAAAAGTGCTATCAATTAAAAGACAATTCCCATATAGGGCCTAAGGACCATAGTTTGGACCCAGCTCTACAGAATATAAAGCAGGAAACATAACATACACAAATAATAATAATAAATAAATAAAATATTTAAATAATTAATAACATAATATTATCAGATTTACCACTGAAAAATTTGTTATGGCTTGAAGTCAGTCAAATTTCAAGCAAGCTCAACCCAAAGATGATAAAATATATTAGAAACAAACCGGATTTTATTATTCCCCATTGTTAATTCAATACATTGTTAGGAAATAAGAGAAAAACATATAGAATATATTTTTTCATTTTCAAATTACATAATTTCTGATCAACTAACAATTGAGGTTTTATTTTTAACAGACAAATTTTATTCTATTTATTAGTCGTATTAGTCTATTAGCATATTTTTACTACTGGTCAATGATTATTGCTCAAGCACTGGTAAAAACTAGAATTTCAGAATACTGATTTTCAAATCAAATCCCTTCCCAATTGGAGAAAACTGACACAACACAATCTTTCTTGCATCCCTCTCTTGTTCAGCCCTGTAGTAAGCTAAATTTCTCTCAGCTAACATAATGTTTCCTCCTCCTCCTTAAGTGTCAGGTCTCTCAGGATGTAGGCTATCAAGGATTTTTTACAGCTTTCTTTTCTTTAATATCTGTAATCTATGCATTGCCACAACTGCTCTTGAAAAAGATAGTGGAGTGGTTTCCTTTTGCCTTCTCCAAGGTCTTGAATTCAGAATTGTCCTTCTCCTAGATTGGTTACCAGCCAAGGTTAGAGTGTTCAGTCTACCCAACTATTTAACCATAGATGGGCAATGTCATGTGTAAAGTAATAGAAATAAATGTATCAAACTTTTCAGCAGTGATTTCTCTTTAGCAGTGGATAAAGTAAATTAGTTTTGAAGAGGATTATGTCAAAAACTACCTGCTAAACACCCCTACACATGGCCAGCTTTCATAGCTAATCAACATGTACTGCCCAAATGAGCATACAAATAGATTTTTTTTTCTTACCTCAAAGTCTAACCAAGATTCTAGAAGCATGAGACGTTCTTCTTTTTCTTCAGCAGACTTCATGGCTCTGTTGGCTTCTCTGTAGATGTTGTGAGCATTGACAATGTTATCATCAGTGGGAATAGACATCTCAAAATGCGCAAAACTGATCCACACCTGTTATGAAATAAGAAAAAAAGAAATAAGAAAATCTGTGATAAAATATTTAACTCCACACCTCTCCACGGGAAGGTTGAGAAAGTACTTACCCACTACCGACCAGGAACATTGAGAAAGCACTTCACAGCCACCCCAAGGAAGGTTGGGAAAATATTTAACACTCCCACATTGAGAAAGTACTTACACTCCCCTGCCCACCAGGAATGTTGAGAAAGTAACTAACACTCACCCCCAGGAAGATTGAGAAAATACTCAACACCTACCCCAAGCAAGGTTGAGAAAGTACTCAACACCCACCCCAAGCAAGGTTAGAAACATACTTAACACCCACCCCCAGAAGATTGGAAACATATTAACGCTCACTCCAAGGAAGGTTGGGAATGTAATTAACCCACCATAGAAGGTTGAGAATATACTCCCTGCCTCCACCAGGAAGGTTGAGAAATTACTCAATCCCCACTTAAACACTGCACTCTCTGGGGCATCAACTCAAATAGTATAACCATCAAGAACTATTTGGTTAATAAGAGTTTCTAAAAGAGATGTACTTGCAATCATAATGGATTATAACAGGAAAAAATAATTATTTAAGAATAAAGAATTTGCCTACCTTAACATGTTGTGTTCTCTGCAACAAACGTCTGTATAAATTCCGAGTACGAGCATACTCCTCTTGCTCAAATTCATAGTCTATATAAGATTTCCATAACACTTCGGGCATATCCAATTTAGGTTGATTTATGGCCAGTTCATAGATACCTCGAGCTCGTTCTTTATCTCCAAGAATGGCTTCTAACTCTGCATACTAAAACAAGAGATTCACATCTAAATCAAAATCTATGGCTAATTAGAGTTCTTCAAAACATAAATGGTATTCATTATAAAATACAAATAAATACTTGGTCATGATATCTTTAAAATGATAATGCATATTTACAGAAAACCTAATTAATTCCAAAATGTAATGCAAAAACATATAAAATAGAAGTAACACCAAAAAATATATGTGTAGATTTTGGGGAAGCAAAAATTGCTGTAATTCAAATGATGTGAAACCAAATGAAGAACAAAGTATATATTTCTTCTTCTATGTGCCATGTCCCTACAGGATGTGAACAATCATGGCTTTCCACAACTTCCTATCCCTTGTAGTACTTAGTAAGACTTATCTTTTGCCATCCCTTCCACTTCTCATTCCACCATCCATTCACACACTCATCACTCACTACCTCCTCCCGTCACTTGTGCCTTCAATATATCCTGTGAGTGTCAAATACTCCAAGCTCTCCTTCCTCATTATATGTTCCAGAAATTTCAGCTGTCTTTTTCTGATTCTAAGTGTCTTTTTAGCTTCAATTTTCCTAAAGTTTCCTTCATTGCTTACTCACTCCAGCCATTGTTTTCTCAGTATGGCTTCTATAAAATATTTCTGTTGCTTCCTGTTTTCTCATCATCTGTGAAGAAATTGTCCAGCATTCACTGCCATATAGGAGGACTGATATTACATAGCAGTTCAGCGCTCTTTTCTTTTTTCCTAATTAAATTTCCTGTTTCTTAGTACTTTGCTTAGCTTTTGGCAGGTATCTTTTGCTATTCCAAAGTGCATTCGAATTTCGGTGTCACATTTTCTATCCTGTCAAAACCCTTCCCAGATATATACTATCACCTATTAATGTACACCTTCTTTTCAAGAACATCATGAAAAACGTCTTCACAAAAGCACAAGCAGCAAAGAGTGTCAGACTTATTTTCATGGACGAAATCAACCCTAAAAGCATCCCCTAATATAGTTGGTATGTCTTTACACATTGTCTGCAATGTCCAAAACAATAAAAAAAAAAAGTAATGTTCAGTGGTATCCGAAGGAAGACAGGCAGGGTCAACATGAAGTAGAAATTGGGACTTCATTAACATCATCAAGACCAAAATTGTAAATGAACCAAAAACATATTATGTGCAAGATAGCTTCAAAACTAAAAATGGACTCCCTGACTATCTGAACATCCATATATGATAAACTGAACCTTAAATCCTACATGAAAACATTTCTTTTTGGAGTTCATGAAAGTCAGGAGGCTGGGAAGAATGCAAAGAATATGTTCAGATATTTCAAGGACTATGGATTCATGGATGAAATATTCTCTGATATGGAAATCTCCTAATGGATACTGTTTTGAACTGTTGAAATGATAGATATCTTGTGAAGTAAAAGTGAACCTACTAAATTACACCATGTAGGGTGTTTTTGAGCAAAACAACCCCCCCTACTCTAACAGCAATACTCTCAAGACTTCCATATATGTGGAAGGGGCCAGTTTCACAGCTTTTCATTGGGGAAATACCATTTTATTTTAAAAAAATAAAAAAACATTGGGGAGAAATCTTTTTTATTTAAAAAAAAATTTTTTAAAATTAAAAAATCTTAATCTTTTTTTTTAAAAAATAAAAAAATTGGGGAAAAAATCTTTTTTATTTAAGGAAAAAAATCATTTTTAGAATAAAAATAAATAAAAAATCTTTATTTAAAAAAAAGAAAAAATTGTGGTGAGTGTTACCTTCATCCAAGTTGTGCAATTCTCAGCTCCAAACTCTAGGAATTTTTCATACAGAACTCGACAACGATCAAATTCTCTCAGCTGAATTTCAAGATCTATATAGCCACGGAACAATTTGTTCTTAGGACACTTGCCAATAGAAACACCCTGAAACAATAAAGCACATTTTTACTGCTATTTGTCACTTTTGTATGTGGCTATGGTTGGCTTATTAATGAATTACCAAATATAAAAAGAATCTCAAAACCTCAAATAGATCAGAAATATTTTTAAGAATACTGATTAAGGCAGGAAAGCATAACTAAATTAATTTTCTTTTGCTCATACTTCATATAATATTTATTCAAGAAGGAATCACATAAAATCTTGGCAAATTTGATTTTACCTAACATCACAATTTCTTGGATGCAATGATTTAATGTGGTCAATTAATTAAAATTAAGGCGTCGAAAAATTGATTCAGAAATTATCCATTTCAATGTTTCAGTCAGACGAAATGCCCAAGTCAGTGGTTAGGGGAGGCTATTAACCTTATAAGGAAGAGGTTTTATAAAATTAAACCTGGATATTAATCTTATGATGTTAAATTGGGGTTATATGAAGAATGAAGTGTTAATTTGAAACTAAAAGAGGGCTGAAAAGGGAATTTTATAAAAAAAAAAAATTTATATATATATATATAAAAAGTTCCTATTTAAAAAATAATAAATTATACTTAAAAATAAGATATATTAAAAAGATTAAAAATAGGTCATATTTAGATAATTTATATTAAATTTAAGTAAGAATATATTTTTAAAAATTTTATATTAAAAGAATAAAAAATTAAAAAAATAATAAGATAAAATAAATTATACATTTTTAACTTTAAAGATAAGTTAAATCAAGTTATATTAAAAAAAAGCATACAAAGTTAAATTTAAAAAACCTAAACAAAAAAAAAAGGGTGTAAGTGATAAAAGGAAAGAGACTTCTTAGAACAGGGGACAATTATAAGATATAATTAATATGGTGAAAAAATGGAAATATAGAAGATACATTGATAATTGAAGAGTTAGAGAATTAAAAAGTAATAAAGTAAAATTTATATTATAGAAGATTAAATTTATTTTTATGTCAACATTCTAAAACTAATTCATTCCTTTGATTTAATAGCTTGCTTTGATTATTGTATTTTATTATTCTAATTTTTTTCTTCTAAACACAAGTTACACTTATCATTAGGACTATGAGCGAAACCTATAATTTTCCAATCTGTGCACTCAGACCTTTCTCATTCAATTCCCAAAATTTTTTGGAAAGAGCTGTCTGGTATTTTAATTTAGAGTTGGTAAAAGAATGCCTATGGGTATAAATCTTTTTCCATTCACATGCGGAAATTCCAGTGTAAACATTATAATTTAACATATTTTCTTTGGGGGAAATGGTTGCCTAGTATATAACCCAAGTATATCTGCATTTGTCCTCAACTGGACAACTTTCTTTATCTCTACAATTACAGTAGTGTTGTTTTTGTTTTTGTGAAAATGTTTATTAACTTTAGAAAATACTGTCCGATATTAATATTTGACAGTTTGTATAAAGGGGTTTGAACCATATAATTTTTTTTTTCCTGTTTCTGCGCCTACATTTCACTTCAGATATTTCAGTGTTACTTATTGGGGTTATATATTACATTTATAACCTTTGCATTTAGCATGAAACAGTCTGTCACCTCTGAGTGTTGACTTCAATGTCCACTTTTATGTATATATATATATATATATATATATATATATATATATATATATATATATATATATACACATACACGTAGATATATACACACACCACTATTATTATTATTCTTAAAAAAGGAAGGCATATTTCCACAAGAATAAAAGATAGCCTCTAATACCAATGAGCTATATTCAAATACAAGAATAAAGAAATTCCATGACATATATAATTCCTATTCACTCAGGATTTTGTGGTACCAATGTTTATACAAGGAAAAACAAAGTAAAAATAAACCAACCAATAGTTAAAATTAGACAAGAACTTAAGCTGCTAGCAAAATTCACTATACCTGTTACAATGCAATATATGGCCTTCATGTCTTCTGATCATAACTGATTGGAAATGTTAACATGTACATATTTTGTTGAATTAATATGGCCAAAGTAAATATCCCATTAAGTATTGCAGATTGTAAGTTGCCTAGTTTTATCCAGTTAAACATGTCACCTAGTAGCTGATATACTTTGCATCTCTGGTCATGAACAGGAATAGTCGAGGAGCATCAGAGCCAGGTTGCTTTTTTTTTAAGTTTGAAAGATAGCCAAGGCAATTTGGAAGATAACGCAGATAACCACTTTTGAACAGTCTCAATTAGAGACCATCTAAGTGAACTGTGTTACCCAAGTTGGAGTTATTTTTAATTGAGTTTCACCTGCTTTTAGAAAAACCCATCACCATATCACACACATTTGGCTGTGATGCATGTGTCTGATATATTATCAGACTGGGTGTCATGATGGGTATATCGGGCTTTGGAGATTTGTACCCCAGTATCACTTAGTTGATGTGTTGCTATATCACTTGATAATAATAATTACTGTATAAAAAATAAATTTTTAATGCAGTTACCAAACATTGGGCAATTTGCAGTATAAATCAAACTTTAAGCTTTGTTACTTCTGGGTGAATATCCAGTATACGGAAACATTGTGTGTTAGGAAGAGTAAAAAAACAACTTACCAAAATTTTACGAGCTGCTTGTAGATTTTTCTGCAATTTCAAACTGTGCAAAAAGAAGCCAAATTTTGGCAAATGTAAATTTTTTATGAGGAATCACTTCAAGTGCAGCAGTGTAGATGGCCCTAACTCTTGCAGCATCACCACATTCAAGTTCCTCAAAAAGTGAATACATAATCCAAAGATAGATGTAACGGCGCCAATGACGCTTCTCCTGACAATAGGAAAAAAAGACAAACACAATTAAGGAATGACCACAATTTCTTTTAATGCTAAAATTCACTTGATACAAGGCTCAGGAGCTACTCAAGGTAGAAGGTTACTATTAAAATGGTATGATGAAGGGGGTGCATGATATGAATGAAAGAGACAGTGGTAGAAAGTAATCAATATGAGGATAAAAAGGATAGGTAACAGTTGACTCTTGACTTGAAGATGTTAACATCATAGTGTTCAGGGAAGAAGAATTGTTTTTTGGGGTTTTTTTTCATGAAGGAAATTCTTAGGAAAAGTTGTCTCTGTGGAACTAGTTATATAATTAAAACTGTTAGTCCATCTTAACCTAGACAAGAAAAAATGTTGCATAACCACAGTAAAATCAAACAATAGTACTAAGTATGTTATGAACACATAGTGTAACAGTGACTCAGAAAGAGAAATCAACAAGCCAAGTTTAAATTCAGGTCAAGTTCATTATGTTCACTTTCACATAGAAATACTTTTGGGAAAGATATAATTTTTTTTTTTTACTAATGTTCACCCTATACAAGATCCAAGAGCCATTCAAGTTGCTGAAGGGGGTTGTTGTGTAAGAGTTAAGAAAAGTAGTTTATGAGGATATGTAGGAAGGATAACTCTAGACTTGCAAAGGTTAAGAATTTAGTGATAGAGTGTTGTATCATCGTGATGAATGATACACAGAGAAGAATGAGTGCTTAATATATTTATTCAGCACCAGTATCTGGTGCTAACAGATACATACAAAAAACACAGAACAACAAGTTATAAAACAATTAACAAGACAACTTACAAGGAATAGAGGAGGGTCAAATGCTGTATAGCCAAACAAAGTAAGATCAGTCCAAATATTAAACAGCTTAGTATCAACTTATTAATCAACTGTTGAAGTCCTTAATCATACACTATTTAAGGTAGAGTGCTGAAGGGGTGCTAGCTACTCTACAACATCAAGAAAGCATCCTCTCGGTAGTCTGTTCCACAAAGTAGCAGTTTGTGAGAAGAAGCCGTCCAAGTGGAACTTCTTTCTTACTAATGGAATACAAAGGTAATGGGAATGGTTTATCTCAGGTCTTAGTTGTGAAGATTAGAACTGGAGGAACTAAGGAATGTAGCCAATCATATTCCATCTCTTTTACCCTCAGCTATGGGTTAAATAACAGAGCAGACTGAGCTTTCATTTTTAGGTGTCAACTAGTATAGGAGAAGGAAAACTCTGAATTCAAGACCAGTTCGAAGAAGGATGGGCTCTGTCAGGATATCTTTCCCTAGCTGTTACCACAGCTGCAGTACATGTGATGTCTCTATAACCGTAATGGGTAGTGGGATTTGTGACATGATGTTATCACCAAACAAGTAATTGACATTATCCGGTGACTAAGGAGAAAATGATACATGTACAAAATTCAATACATGATAAAATAATTTAGTTCTCAGTAATAATTACAATTTTTTTTACTTATTTTAGTTTGTATTAGAAGTAGCTGTTATTCAAGGATGAATTTTGTCAATCACAACCTGTTCAATTCTAGGGTTAACCATTATCTTCTCCACATATCTGCATAAACTGTGCCTCTTACTCTGTAACGATCTACCTTGAGTAGCCCCAAGTCTTGTGCAAGGTGAACATCATTGTAAAAAAAAAAAAAAAAATAGACACTTCATTTTATTTGCATAGATTATTAGAATGACTAAGGGAAGTGAGTACGCATTAATTTACTACCAAAAGCTGATTTACCTCCCTTACCATTATATTTTTAACATGGAAATAAATATTTAATTTCTATGACACATAGGTTCTTCAACCTTATTTTTGATTTTCATGACCTTAATCTAAGTCAAGTTTACATAGCATATGGCACTCCCTGAGTCATAACCAATCTGCATTTGCTTGGTTGAAATCCATCCAGTAGTTTCTGAACCTATACCAGACAAATACTGTCTCATTTATTTGTATAGATTTATCTTTTTCAGTATTTTATAGTTGAGCTCTTCCATTTCAATTAAAAAGATAGCCAAATATTTTTGTATAGAAAATATCATGGAACAGTCTATGACCTTCTGTTTGGTTGTTAGGAGTTGTAGAAAATAGAATATTTATTCCATTCAAATGAACTAAAAGAAACAGTCAAGCTAGGGAAGCGGTCTTCTTATTTCATCTTGTTCAAATAACAGAAAAGCTTTCTTTATTTCAAATCATCTGACCACCTCCAACATGGTTGCAGTGCTCCCACTCCACATACCTTAAGGTGCTGAAAGCTTGAAAAATAGGGAACAAGAAGTTGAATGATACAACTCTCTCTCTCTCCCCTGTTACTGGTTACCCTCTACATGGGTCCCATGGCCAATCACATAATTACATGTACTTAAATATCATGACCAGTTTACATGCTTTGTCATCTAGCATTCAACAATCTGTGTCACTGACATCTCTTTTGAAAATATCATCTTGTTATATAAGAATAAAATGTTGCTGCTGACAATGGAGTTTGAACACAGATCACTAGAAATCAAAAACAGGCGATCCCATTTTGAATAAGTAGATCACATGATGGTAAAGGAAATGTATATATGGGAATTAGCATGGCATCTAAGTGATCACTATATGGATTACTATTTGGATCACTTTTCAGTGGTTACTTTTTGAGCAAGTATTATTGAGCAAGTACTATTAGTGTGAGTGTTATTCGAAGGCATCTGACACCAGTATTTTTTCAATGGCATTACTATAATTGTATCTGCAATTACAAAGTCTCTACCACAACGAGCATTACGAAAGTGACTAGTATTCGTTGACATTACAAAAGTGACAACGAGTGTTTGTTGACATCACAAAACATCTATAGATGTCAAGCAATGTCAGTGAATATATTACAATACTTATTGATATTATTATAAACTATAAATTTATATCTGAATAATATAGAAGATATGATATACAAATCTATAATCAGGTTAATAGAATGACAAAATGAAAAAACAAACTCTTACATTATGCATTTTGTCCTTTGAAAGACCTTCTTCAGACTAATAGTGTTTTTAGCCTTTTAGTCTTAACTAGTATGTTATATTTTTCCCCACTATATAATTTCTTATTACTGTAAACAATATATTTTAGTGGATACACATATTTGTGTAAAATTTTAAAGAAAATATGCCCTCCAGTATTTTCTTTAAGATTCTTGAATACACAGGCTGATAAATGTAATTCACACATTTAAAAAAAAAAATGACCAAACACATATATTCATTGAAGTATATTTAAAGAATAAATAAGGTCAGATTAAAAATAAAATAAATTACACTTGATAAGACTCCATCAATAAAACTATTATTAGTTTCAATGAAGTCATTTCAAAGTACAAAATATAGGAGTTTATTTTCCATTTTCTGATTTAATTATCCAATAAAATAATATACTTCTAAATTAAGATTTAAAATCTATAAAATCAAAGGCAGATAAGTAGACAAAAATAATACTTATAAGATGACAACATAAGCAGCTTATTGACAAACCTGAGATGGAGGAAGGTTGGCTATAGCTCTCTCATAAACTTCTCGTATTTGTTCTACATCTCCATCAGCTTCTAATAATCGAAGGTAATCAAACCAAGCATCATAGTTCATTGGATTGGCTTTCACTTCCTAAAAATATTAAAAATTAAAAAAGAGATTATGACATGAATCATTAAATGAAATTTAAGGCAATATGAAACTAACAAAAAAAGTTTAAAAAAAAAAATCCAGAACAGAGATGAATCCCAAGATTGAAAGATATGTTTCAATTTCCAATGTGATCATAATTAGACAGCTCTTTCATTCATGTTTCTAAATACTTATTTTGCCTGAAGTTTAACAAGATTAAGTATTAAAATTAGTTATTATTAGAACAGCTTGCTACTGTCTTTCTTTTGACATTTTGATCTATTAAAAAATTTTTAAGGAAAACCCATTTTCAATTGCAAAAACTTTAATTTTTAGCAGTTTTTATACAATGAAAGTTAAATCTTTTATTTATAAATTTCATTTAACAAGATAACTTTTTAAATTTTACTGACATCACTCATTTACAATACATTTCTAAATTGATCAAAAACACATTTTCACTAATCTTTAACAAAACAAAAAAGTATCAAATTACCCCAAGTTACATTCAGTTAAAATTCAACTGTTGTTTATTGCAGTCTATTTCTGCATATAAGGTGATCTTTAAATAATGAAAATTGCTACCCAAAATAGGGCTTCGTCTAATACAAGTTACAAAAAGCTAACCTTAAATTCTGTAGTGTATCAATACTGGCCAGTAGGCTAATATGCTTGCACCATGAATGACAGCATCTAACAAATGTCTCAGTATGGTAACTACCAATGTAAATATTTCTAGTTGAAACAATTCATATTATAATACTGTACTAAATTTATAAATGTAATAAAACAACTTTTAATTCTTGATTTCACATTAAAATCCAATATTTGAGATGATTACACAACAATTTGAAAAAGTTCCACTGAGCAACATGCACAAGTAAACATAAACAAATCTTTCATTCTTGATTTGTAGAGCTATGGGTGTGTTCACACCAGTCATTATTTTTCATAGTAGTATTAAATAATATTTATGATAACATAGAATCTATCTTTCAAATTAAAATTATCATAGTGGTGTTAATTAACAACATTTAGTATAACATGTAAACTTTTTTTTCAATAACCTACATTATATGGTATATTTGTTTGTAGTGTTAAGCAACATTTAAGATGCCATAAAATCTTTATTTCTCATCACAGAATAAAAACATAAGACACTCACATACATAATTAAAACCTTTCAAAATTACTATGATCATCATCTGATGAGAGCTCATCATAAATATTGTCATTTACAGTTTCGCCATATGGGTCCCAGTCAGTTCTCTTATACTATGGATATTGGATAAAATCACAAAAAGTTAGATAGATTTTGGGTCTCATCTTATCTATAGGTCATCTTATATGTGGATATTCATGGTATAAGTTTTAAAATTTTAGTATCTTATAACTAAAGACAAATTATCATAATGCAGCAAAAACAATAAATGTTATAACAAATTTTATGTCTAGAATCATGTAAAGCCAAACTAAAAATTAAATTTTAAAAATATTTTATGTAATATTTTTTGTATTATATTTTACCTCTTCATACTGGAACCTTCGTTTGCTGACAATCACATCTTCTATGGCTGTTCGATCCCCATAACGTTTTTCATGTTTGGTATAATTTTTGTAAATTTCTGTACACTTCTCTTTTGGTAAACCATCCAAAGCAAATTTGTAAATTGCACGAGCACGTTCATGCTGCAAAAAAAAAAAAAAATTATTCTTCAAATTTTTTTTAAAATATCAAATATTTCTGTTATGGAAAGATACCTTAAATTGTATCTTTCTAGGAAAAAGGTAAAAAAATATCTATAAAAAGATAGAAATCCTGTTTGCATAAAGTGTACTTAATAGCAAATACATATAGAGATTTATATAATAATGCTAAATGTTTTAAATAAAGATTTTCCATCTTTGAAGTTAATATTTTACACATCACTTTATAAACAAAAAAAAAGAACAATTTTATCTTGTTAACATTTTTGCAAATAATAATAAAAAGTCAATGTTTTTCACTTCTTTTAAACCAGTTTCTTGTACAAAAGCCTACTGAAAAACAATACTCTTTACTTTCATAAAAGCAATCAAAAATATTTTTAACTGATTTGTTCATAATTAAAACCAAGCAAAATATTAAGGCATAATTGTAATTTTTTTTTTTAACTAAAAGAAATTCAAACTAAAGAATTAAGTTTTCATTAAATTTTCACACATTATTAAAAATAATTAACCTTAATTTCTAGAGTCATGTACAAAGGTTAAAAAATCCCAAACCTTGAAAATCAATTTACCTCTCTTTGTCCTTCTTCAAACTTGGCAAAAGCAATCAAAAGTGTTTCATCAATATTGTCTTGACCAAAAAACTCAACTGCACGTTCATATACCCGCCGTGCACTGTTAATATAATTGTTCCTTTCTTCAAAACGAGCATATTTTATCCAATTCTTCACTTCAGGGTGAATATAAACGAGTAAATAAAGTTAAGGTATAGAAGTGAATACTTGGAGCAATCATAAAATTCCCATGATGCAACTTAGCAATTTGGGAAGAGAACACAAATTTGTATAATACAGAAATCAGAAATTTGTATAAAGCAGAAATTATATTATTTGATTTTAAATACTGGCTTCTTTATCTATTTCTGAGATGAGGTATTATAACTATTTACTTTGTTCAGACTGTTGTCTTCATATTTACTGTCACATTCACAATGTTTCAGCTGTTGTACCCTCCGACCTTCTTCAGGTGAGATTTGTGAAATTAACAAATGAGGTGAAAAAATTGTAAAAGCACAAATTTAAAAAAAAAAATTATAATATGAACTCTGGTAAAAAAAATATACTGAGACAATAGGTTCATAAGTCCCAAAAATTCACTCACTAGTGGCCCAGTGGATATAAGTGTTGGTTGATTAATCCAAAAAAGTGACTTGAAAAGTGAGTTAAATCCCTAGCCTCAGCAGAAAAGAAAAAACTTAGAGAGTTATCAAGGCGAATTAACTAAAGCTGAGATCTAAAAAAGGCATGGTACATGGAACAATTAGAACAATCTACTCCCATAGATTAAATAAAGTGTTCAGTTCACAATTCCAACAAATATTATCTGAAGACGGCCGGAGTGTACAATGGCCCAAACAGTAAAGATGAGGACAACAGTCCCAACAATGTAAATAGTGTAAATATTGGCTTATTTATTTCTCTTTTTATAAACAGTTGATAAAAAAAATATTTTTAATTTTCAAATATTTGAAAAAAAAATTCAACAGAACTTTAAAAAATCTTTCTCTTGTGACAAGATAAAAAAAAAATCACTTAGGTCACTTTTTACACTAACTGATAGTAACCATTTGTAATTAAGTTGAGTAGTTAATTAACAGGTTAGGAAATGACAGTACAGTTCTTATCTACCATACATGCTTATACCAGCTACTAGGTGTTAAGTAGTTTGGCAGATGCGTTGAACTTATATGGGTCAGCTGGAAAAATACCTTAAGAAAAAAGAGAGAGAGAGCATGCAAGAAAAGAAAATCCAAACTTGAAAATGGAGACACTGTGGATAGAAGAGGGCATGGACTGGGTATGAGATTACACTTACAACATTAATCCAGAAAATAAAGAAAATTATGTAGAAAAAAATGGAATAAACAATAGGATTTTTAGAAAAAAAAAATTTTAAAGTAATAACAGTAAATAAAAAAAGGAATTATTAATTTCAAATTGTGCAAAACTTGTAGTTCCCAAGGTGAAAAAAAAAAAAGGTAATAGGTGTGAGTTTAGAAAAAAAAAAACAACTAAGTGCCAAAGAACTAAAAACTAAAAAGAATAATACTTAGAAAAAATGAAAAAAAAGTTCTATCTAATAATCCTTAAACATTTCTGACCACTTCTTTCCAACAATTTCTGTCATCCATGGCTCTCCCAGTACTTCCAGTATTATCTGACTTGATTAATGAAGATTCTTGCTGGTCTAACTCTTGATCTTTTCTCATAATATGGATCACATAGTATAAGCTGAAGGCACATTTTGTTTGCTTCTCCAGCAATGGCTACTAAACCATACTTAACTTTCACAGATTGTATCCATAATTTTTGATAGATTCCTATACAGTTCTTCATTGGGCACATGTTGTTTCCAGCTAACATTAAGCACTCATCTCAACAGACAAGTGTACATATCATCTTGATTTATTTTTCCAGTGATTTTATTAATGTCCAACTGCTTGAACGGTACATGAGAACTGTTTCTACTGTTGACCTAAAGAATTACACTTTCAGACATTTTTAAGTTTTTTTACTTCCAGATGGTATTTATTTTTGGTAGTGCCAAATGTTAGCATTAGAAAAATAGCAAAATTTAGTACATCGAATAAAACTGAAAAAGATTTTGGATTATCAAGGTTTTTGGAAGATGGAGAAAGCTAAGTCTCAAAAGAGTCAGGAAAAAGAGCTAAACATTAAAAACGACTACTATGATCTTCCTCAAGATTAGGTGGTGGATACTGGAAGTCAAGAACAGTTACACTCTTCTATTACATTGACCTTATTTGTTCAAATAATACTTTAAAACTGATATCTTGCACAAAAATTGTTGATGGTTAAATACTAGTGTCAGCATGTGACAACATTGGGCAAAATTTGAGTATATCCTATATTTAAAGATAAAAGTTTCTCTATCACAAGAGAATCATCAAATAAGCTGTGGGTAACAAGGTAATTTATGAAAGTTAATGCGTTTCAGAATAGTGTAAGAAATATTACATTACCTATACGAGAGGAGCATCAGAAAAGAAACAGGACTGAAGTTACAAAAAATTTATGTCAAATCCAAACTACAAGTTTTCCCCTTTAAAATTATCCCCCTCAGGTCTAACTTACTTTCCCATCCTTTTCTACTGTGCCTCCATGAACTCCTGGGATTCTCCACAGATCATCATGGCCCTCTTGATGGTTTCTACATCCAGAAAACAGGTCCTCTTGAGCTTGGGGAAAGGAAAAAATCACATGGAGCCAGGTCTAGTGAGTAGGGAAGTTGCTCTGACACAGCAATGTTCTCAGTAAGAAACTGCCGGATGTTCAGGTCATTATGTCGTAGTGAAGCAACCAAGAGTTGTTCTGCCACAACTCTCATGCATTGAACAAAGAAAATGCTGTAGGATCTCTTTGTAGACATGCTGGTTGATCATCTGGTCCTGTGGCAAGAACTGTATGTGAACAATGTCCCTCACATCAAAGAACATGATCAACAAAAGTTTGACTTTGGACTTTGACTGTCTTGCTTTCTTCAGCCTTGGCAACTCCAGGCTCTTCCACTGAAGACTCCGGGGTGCTTGGTCTCTGAGTCATACTCAAAGATCCACAATTCATCACTAGCAAGTCTGGTTTGCTTTCAAGACCCTCTAGAATATCCTAACACACCTGAATGCACTGCTCCTTCTGGTCATCATTCAGCAGCTTCAGCTCCATTTTCACACAGATCTTCCACATACTCAAATTTTTGATGATAATCTTCCAGACTCTGCCATGGTTCATGCCCAGCTCACTTGCAATCAACCAAATAGCTAATGATCACTACGCACCACATGCCTCACATGCTCATCATTGGCATCAGTCCTGCTCATTGAAAGCCTTCCGCTTCTGGGCTAGTCTTCCATATCTTTGCATCCCTGTTTGAACCCCTTGTATGATTTGAAAACCCAGGAGAGCAAAACTGTCTCATCTCTGTACACTTGCTGCAAATATTCCAAGTGCTTCTGACAAAGTTTTCCCCAGCTGAACCAGAAACTTCGGGTTGGTTCATTGCTCTGTGCCCATTGCTTGATGGCCTAAAATTGAGGAGGTGCTAATAAAAGTATGTGAAAAAAACATACAATCACTGTAGAGAGCCGAAATCACAGTTATATACTTCCAGAACATTACATCACACAGTGAGGCAACTAGTTAATCCCTATGCTACTTGTAGCTTACACTAAGTCCTGTTACTTTTCTGACACAACTCATAACAGTAAGAAAAACTCTTCATTTTGATCTAAATTGTCTAGCAACTTCTGCAAACCTTTTCTGAAAGGTTTCAGAAATTTAGCGCAGCCTTTTTTTTTTTTTGATTGTCAACAAAGAAAAAAGTAAAACCAGATAGATATGACAAAGAAACATAGGTCAATATCTCTGTAGTGAAAGAGATAATCAGGTACCCCGGAAAAAAAGTTCCTAAAATTAGCTGAAGCTTCCGATAGAAGAATTGCAATGAAAATTATGGCAAAGGAATCAAACAAAAATTGTTTCTAAATCTTCTGTAATTTTTTTGGCAAGTTCAACAAATATTCTTTTAGCCACTTTGAATCTGTATGATAAATGCTAAATGTAAATCATTCTGTCTGATTCTGATAAATACAAAAAAATTTTAAAATTAGCTCTTCTGAAGAATTGCAATGAAAATTATGGCAAAGGAATCAAACAAAATTGTTTCTAAATCTTCTGTAATTTTTTTGGCAAGTTCAACAAATATTCTTTTAGCTACTTTGAATCTGTATGATAAATGCTAAATGTAAATCATTCTGTCTGATTCTGATAAATACAAAAAAAAAAGTTCCTAAAATTAGCTGAAGCTTCCGATAGAAGAATTGCAATGAAAATTATGGCAAAGGAATCAAACAAAAATTGTTTCTAAATCTTCTGTAATTTTTTTGGCAAGTTCAACAAATATTCTTTTAGCTACTTTGAATCTGTATGATAAATGCTAAATGTAAATCATTCTGTCTGATTCTGATAAATACAAAAAAAAAAGTTCCTAAAATTAGCTGAAGCTTCCGATAGAAGAATTGCAATGAAAATTGCAATGAAAATTATGGCAAAGGAATCAAAAAAAAAATTGTTTCTAAATCTTCTGTAATTTTTTTTGGCAAGTTCAACAAATATTCTTTTAGCCACTTTGAATCTGTATGATAAATGCTAAATGTAAATCATTCTGTTGATTCTGATAAATACAAAAAAAGTTCCTAAAATTAGCTGAAGCTTCCGATAGAAGAATTGCAATGAAAATTATGGCAAAGGAATCAAACAAAAATTGTTTCTAAATCTTCTGTAATTTTTTTGGCAAGTTCAACAAATATTCTTTTAGCCACTTTGAATCTGTATGATAAATGCTAAATGTAAATCATTCTGTCTGATTCTGATAAATACAAAAAAAAAAAAATTAAAAACTGAAGAAACTATTTTTAAAACTCCATTAAAAACTAAAACATAAAACCAATGAAAAAAAAAGGATATATCGTTCATAAATGGCTCTTGCTCTGTCCAGTTCTTTGTATCGTAGCTCAAAATTAATGTATGAGTGCCAGGCTTGTTCTTCAGGTTGCCATTCCATCCATCGCTCAAAAACTTGACGAGCTCCTGAAACAAGTCAATACAAAGGATTATAATTTTACAGCTCAAACATCTTAAACTAACTTTACAATCATTCATTTAAAAACATGCTCGTAAATATCCCAGAGACCAAATTTTTCATAAATGTATTTGTATAGATTTAGTTCTTTATAGACACATGGGTTTCAATTTATGTTCAATTTGAAAAGCTTAACTTACATTGAGAAACCATACAATTAACTGCTCTCTATTAACCATCTGAAAGACCCCTTTCTGCCATCAGCATGGCTAATGCTAACCTCCAGGAGAGTGATCTGTTGCACCTTCTCAGGCTACCATTCCCTACTGAATGGTAATGGAAATCAAATGCTAGGTCTGTTGCTAGGAAAGTTTGTTCACTTTGTTGTGCTAAACAATTCTTCTCTCCAGAATTTAACTTACACATTTATACGTCTACTATTAGTCCATGCTTTGAATATCACTGCCACATATGGTCTAGTGCTCCTGCTATATACTTAGAGATTCCTGATAAATTCCAAATAAGAATCTGCAATACTATTGTCTTGACCTGGCATCTCAGCTTCAGTGACATTCCAATGCAGTAAAGTAGCTCCGCTGTGTCTTTTCTATAAATACTTTCATGATAATTGTTCTGATGAAATTTCCTCTATGGTACCTAGACTTTATGAATTTAAGTGCAGTACTAGATTAGCAATGAGGTCTCGTAAATTCTACAGTTTAATTGGCTAATGTAACCGTAAGTTCTTGCTAACAGTTTCTTTTCTCGCACTTCTCACCTGTGAAACTCTCTTCCAGCTTCTTGCTTTCAAGCCAACTTTGATCTTCAAAAATTTAAATGCAATATCAATTATTATCTACTGTCTTCTTGATTTCTCTTCTTTCATTGTTCCCACTCCTTAATAATGATTTTTCTTTTTCTTTCATGCTCAGTAACATCTGTGTCCTGATTGGGGTGAAATGATGTTTTTATTTTCTTAAATAGTGAAATTAATAACTGACCTAGATTGAGAAGATCTCCTAAAGAAAGATTGTGCCTCTGAAAGGATTTTGACTAAATGGAAAATATCAGATTTGGGAGGGAGGGGCTTCTTGTTCAAACCCAAAAATTTCAGCTTCCTCAGATATAAATTTAGAAATAAATATTCTTTAAAAGACCAAAACAAATCTCAAATTTTATTTAAATCTATTTTTTTGTTTACACAAATGCTTCAATTTTGTTGCAACATTTAGCTATTATACAAATCTGGTTGTGGTATGATGAAAACCTCACACTCTTGGATCCACCAGAGCAACTTTTCAATCATTACATTACAAATTTAATCATTTTATGGATTTGTACTTTTTCCAAGGGTATTTGCACATATGTGAATGTAATGAACCTGACTGAAATTCAAACTTGGGTCTCCTATAAACATACACTGCAAACCTCACCTAAGCTTTCCACTGACTGGCCAATAAGTACACCATGTTGCATTTCAATCCTCAAGCTCATCAGTGTGCACCAAAACCTGGGAAAGGGCCTGCTGCATGCTCACATTATAACGAAATGAAAAACAAATGCCACATTCTGTTTCCCATATTATATGTAGGGCTTTGTTAGCCTAACGATTCAGCTCTCCCCTCTACCAACTCCTCGCCCATCTACTCATCCCAATGTGGTGGCTGGCAATATGAATAGATGGCACAGGAACCACACAATAGACAAATCCATCAGATCAGTTCCCGGATGTACTCTATTTCTGGTTGTGTTGCCACTTAATCTCAAAAAAAAAAAAAAAAACATACACTCTTATACTTCCCATTCCCCTTCAGTCAAAATAGATGTCATTTAGAAGACTGAACTTTAAAAAGAATCTGCTGGTCCATCAAACAGAAACACTTACGATTGTGATAAAACCACCTACGTGGATATTCTTGGTATCACACACTGATTTCTCATTCCAAACTACTATCACAACACCCACACACCCAGAAAGAAAATAATGGGAGTTATTAGCTCCATGTGGATCTTATAGTATCAATTCTTTGTTATATGACTACATTTATTACAGCAGTTGCCCTTGAAGTATGTGGTGTCTAATAATTAAAGAAGACCTTCAAAAAAAATAGGCAAGAAAACTTTGAAAGATGTGAAACAATTTTTTTTAACTCTATTTTAATGATAACAAAACAGAATTGAATGGTTTTGAAAAAAAAATCCAACAAACCAGCAACATTCCCCAACATCTCTTCCATATAGGTATACTTGTACCAAAACTGATTGGCTCGAGGCAAGATGGAAACAGCTCGGTCCCATATATTACGAGCATGATTGATTTGTCGGTTTCTGTGGAAAGAAAAGTGGAAAATATAAAACTTAGAATATAAGATTTTGCAGGACGTTTGGCATTACATGGGATATTTTTTCTAACACTGATAATGTATATTAAAATCAGCAAGTAATAAATGTAATAAACAAGTGTGTCCTTTTATTGACTTCTGAATATCTAAAAAGGCAGTGAAACCAAGACATCAAAATTACTTTATAAAAATTATTACATATGAATCACATTTTGCAATATGAATTTATGTGTGTTCATGTAAGCTTATGACCATATTATTTTAATATACTAGTTCTTGTCTAATTATAAAGTTAAGCAACTTTGGGCCTGATCAATACTTAGATGGGAGACTGCTTGGGAATACCAGGTGCCATAAGCTTAAATTGGATAGATGGAACTTGTCAGTCTGTAAAAGCAGTTCATCTAAGAGAAGGAAAGCTTCAATTTCAAACCACCACTACTTTGCAGCCATACCCAATCATGAGAAAAGCTTTGGGAGTAAATCATGAGGATAAATCAAGGGTTGGGCTCCCTAAGACGGTTCGTGGCTGTATTCAGCAACATCCTGGCAACTCCTGCAATGGCACTGGAACCATGCATATTGGCACTTGCCTTTATATTGGACCAATTCAACAACATAGAGAGTGGAGACCTACTGCATGTGTCAAAGTGTCTATCCCACCCCACCATATCTACCTAAGGTAGATATATGTGCACTGGAGAGACAAGAAGCAGCAATCTCCCAACAACAGAAACATCATCCTGTGCACAAGTCCCTAGTCTCCCAACACTGACAGATGACTATGTATGTATGTGTTTATGTGTATATTAAAAAAAGATTTTTTTAAATGCATCTATGACATCCAGTTTAGTGCCACAACCCAAATATTGATTCTATAAATCGAAAATGCAAGAAAACAGGGTTCTGGTCTGTTTGGAATGTATTTGGAACCATTCTAATTATCTTAAAACAAGTTGCATAGCAACAATAAACTAATTTGGCAACCAATCAGAGGAGACTTTACTGTACATGCATGAACAGACACTCTCTCATGGGGTTACACAGTTAACAATGAGACACTACTGAATGAGCTTGTGTACTGTGTGACAATCATATTCACAGCAAATATACATAAAGATTTGCTTGAAACTTGAACATTATCAGCAGAATCTATTTGAATATTTAGGGAAGATTTGGTGATGATTCAGTCAAACAAAAGATACAATTTTGGTACCAATGATTGAAACGTAGCTTGGAATCCATTGAAAACGGTCCATAATCTAGAACTTCAACAGGCAGAAGGCACAAAAATGTTGAATGAATAGAGACAACAATCAAAGGAAATCAACAATTGATGTTACAAGAACTAGAAGATGTGGTAATTCAACAGAAAAGATCCAGCCATTTCGTGTATCTTGACAACCTAATTCTTCATAAATGATGCAGGGATTTGGGGCAAATATTGCATCCCCTACAGACCATATTTGGTTCCCTGAGACTTCTGGCTTTTCTCAAAGCTGAAATCTTTGTTGAAAGGGAGGAGATAAAAAGGAACATGAGGATGGTAATCCTGAAAAAAAAAACTTTGCAGACTATTTTCAAAATTCAAAAGGGATACTAAGATAAGTGTGTGAATTATCAAGGAGAATTCTTTAAAGAGAACTAAGTTGCCATTTCCCTAGATCCGCTATTTTTTTTTGTTAATATGAAATGGCTGGATCATTTCCTGATAGACCTCATATGCTAAAACATGTTAAACAGTTTTATGGATTCTTTTTATTTAAAATATTTGGGTATGTGCCCTATACCAACTTTCCTCATCTAATGATGGCAAAAAGAAAACAAATCTTCTTTGACAACTCCAAAGTAAATTTAGTATTTTTGACAATTGAAAGAAATGAATGAATGTTATTACTTTGCATGAAAATGTATCAACACTCTCTTTTACTTCTTTTGCTCTCATTGTCTTTTTTTTAAAAAAAGACAGAAAACAAGCAAGTCTGAATGTAACAGATTGATTGATTCATTCATTTTCTACAGCTCATCAAGCCTTTGCAGGTTATTTAAAGAGATAAAATATTTTTAGATGGTAAGAGTGTTTTTTTTTTATATAATAGTGGTTTAGTGATACAAGTAACCTCCAAGCTTACAGCACCTGATATTCCCAAGCAGTCACCTGTCTAGATACTGACCAGGCTTGATATTGCTTAACTGTGGTGATTTTATGGAAACTGGTGTTTTAAGATGTTGTGGACATAAGCTCTAACAGTAACAGAATAATGAAATCTAACAAATCAAGATTTATAAACTGAAAATAATTTTTTTTTAAAGTTCTAATCTGCAAATTAGTATATCACACATCAAAGAGACACACCAAAGAATTTGTACATTTTAAGACATTTTATGGAAATTAAAACAATATATTTTGGCAATGTTTAACCTTCATATCCACAAAAAAAATGTGCCAAAAGGATGGTTATTCCCTTGACACCACTATTACTGTATACACTTTTGACTCCCTCAGCAGTGTTTATTTAAGGTTATAATAAAATATGCAAACCAAGTACAATGCAATATTTATTATTTACTTTCTTATAAAGAAATAGATTTGAAAAAAAATCATTTTATTCCAAAATTTATAAATAATTACAAAATTATTAAAATATATAAACCAACTACAATGTGATATTTGTTATATACCATTTTAGAAATAACTATGAAAACAAGTTTTTATTCATAATTTTATAAAAAATATCAATGAATTATTTTTGTTAATTCTCAAGAATAAAGAAAATGTACAAATCCACTTCATATGTTTGGGTTTTATTAAAATTATAATCATCACTTTTTAATACAATAAAAATTGCTGAGGGAGGAAAAATGTATACAATAAACAGTGTCAAGAGAATAACCATCCTTTTAACACACCATTCTTTTGCAGGCACATAGGTAAAATATTGCCTATATTTCTTTGTTATATAACATTTTTACTTTTGTCTTCTTGATTTTCATTCTAAACCTTTCATTTTTGTATTTTTTTCCTTTTCTTATTTGTTGTATTATATGAATCATAAGAGAGTTATGACCCTCACTCTAGGGTCCATGATAGGCTTCTTTGATACTTTTGAGATAGCCTGGAGCTACAAGGAAATTGAAATTAACTAATGAGAAAATTTAAGTGAATATTTATTTTTGATTGGTAATTAAGTGTCAAAAGCACAGTCAAAAAAATTTAATTTAAACAAATTGCAAGGTGCCATTCAAAATGGCAGAACCTACTTTGGTAAAATAAGAATTAATATACATTAGGTTATTCCAGGGATGATGTGCTAACAGGATTTATGAGATCAGAGAAAATGGAATACAATAATCCTGAATGTTTTCACAAAATACAAACCCTCCAGAATCACATTGTTCCTTACCAAATCAGAGAAGCCTGGAAATTGACCAAAATGGTAATTTGATAAAAGCCATATGGTTTGGGAGAGCCCAGAAAATGGCCCAAATGATATTTATACAGAAACCTTTTTTTTAATCAATTCACTGCAAGCAAAGTGATAATGCCACTAAGATGCAAGTGGGTGCTATTGGGAGTGAAAAAGACTTTAGAAAAAACCGAAAACCCAATTCTAAATAGTAAACAGGGGATAAACCTCTACTCTTGTTCAGAAGACCGGGGAGGAGCGTAGACTGGATGATAGGTAAATCTATATACTCCTATTGAGGAAGAAAAATAGTAAATAAAATTTCAGAGTTTAGGCAGAAACATTAAAAAGTATAGAGTTGAAGTAGAATTTAAAAGGAAGCAGAAACCCAATCCTCAACAGGGATAAACCTCTACTTCTGTTCAAAAGAATGGGGAGGAGTGTGAACCGAACAATAGATAGACCTATCTATCCTTTCACTCAGAGGGATTGTCAAATTATCAAAATCCATCAAATTAATAATGTTTCACTATATGAGCAGAACAGGAAAGGCCTTCAAGGAGTCAGATCCCAGCCGGCTACATGCTGCTACTAAAATCTATGTTAGTCATTCCAATTCCTAGCCATCTCAGAAAATACTAGTAGTCTTTTATCACATAAATCTATTTAATTCACTCATGTTCTTACCCAGAACAACCAACAGTGACATTCAAGTCCCTATGTAATTTATATTATTTGACACTATCAAAGAACAGGATATTTCGCAGTGTTGTAAAAAAGATTTTAATGCTTGATCAAATTTTGAGTAAAGATGTATCATTTGCTCTAAAATTTCAAAAAAGTATTTATGTTTTGCAATAAAATCTTAGCATATATAAAAATCAAATATCAACTTACTTCATTTCCATTTCAGCATATTTGAGCCAAACTGTGATATTTCGATGGTTGACATCAAGGGCTCTTTCCCATACTGATCGAGCTCTGAAAGAAAAAAAGAAAAAATAAAAGGAACATACTAAATTGAACAGTAAAATATAGTACAAAATTAAATCTCAATAAATCAATGAAAAAAATAACATCAAAATACGGCAAACATACAACATGACCCTCGTTCAAGCTTTCCACTGAACAGCCAATGATTACCCCACATTGCATAGAAAACTGAGAAAGGGCTCACAAGGTAACAAGATGAAAGACAAATGCCACATCAAATAAATAAAAATGCAAACCCTGTTTCCCATATCATTTGTAGATGTTTCATTAAGGGCCTGCTCACCTGGGTGGTTAGATAGGTGGCATTTTAGACAACATCTATGTCAATTAGTTCTTTCCCCTACCAACACCATCAATAGATCCTAAAGTGTGGTTGGTAATACAAACAGGTGTCATCGGAACCATGTGATGGACAAGTTTGTCTCTCATCATGAAATGTCTTTCCAATCCCAAGCATGTCTGTTCATGTAGACCAGCACCTGGAAATAATGTCCAGTTTGTTGTTCCATGGTCACCAAAAAATCCTCATTTTCTTCACTTCCCCATTCCCCTTCGGTCAAAGTGGACATTGCTCAGAAGCCCAGACTTCAAATGGAATCATCTGCTGGCTATAAAACAGAAACACTCAGGACCAAAATAAAACCACCTCTTCCCTTTCTACATTAGGATCCGTAATAACATAATACAAATGGTGAGAGCAACAACTGAGATGTGTGTATGTGAGTGCATATTTTCATTTTTGGAAATTTATGTTTAAGTGATGTAGATACAATTCTTTTTATAACCAACTTAAGATTTTGACCTGTACTCAGCTTGCTTAATCTTTCCACAAGAATTAGTACACAAATTGCTTAAAAAGTTGTTTAAGTCTTTTATGCTTGGATTTAATAAGTAGAAAAGAAAGACATTTCAATGTAAGTAAATTAGTAGAATCGATAACATTTTTGAACAGAGTATAAAATAACATATTTAGTAACTGTTTTTGTTTAATTTTTCTTTCTTTTTACAAAAGCTGCTTAAATCACACTGACATTGACAGTAGCATGCTTAGGATTTTGTCAAATCTGAGTACAGTTGCTTATAAATACGTTACTTATAAAAAGAAATTGTATTATTCGTTAATGATTGTAGAATGATCTGGGATTTGTGATAAAAAGAAACAGAAATAACATGAAAGAAATACTAGTGAAAAAGAATATAATATTTAATAATGCTTTATCTGAGTAACATGAAAACTATTACATCTACTATGACAAGTGTAAAAATATAAAGAAAAAGGATAATGACATAGGGAATTTGGAGAAATAAAGAATATAGTTATATGACTAAAACTGAATGACATTCTTGTAATTTAATTAAGGCAGACTAATGGAAAGACAAACACCCAGAAATAAGAGATGTATATTCAAAGCTTGCCAGAGGCTTGTTCTTTAATTTTTTTTAATCTATACTGTTCACATAAAAATTTTAGAAGGATGATCTAGTTGTAAGAAAAAAAAAAAAGACAACAGAATTAAGATAAGATATACAAGCCAAAAATGAATAACATCAAGTGAATATTTGCATTTGCATACAGAGATCACATAAATTTTGTTAACATGAATATCAGCAGAAGGAAGTTAAAATGAATGACTAACCTTTGAATTTCCTTTTGTGTTTCTTCCCACTGAGCATATTTTATCCAGTTTGACATAACAGTTCGGTTCTTACGGATATTGTCTTCAAATGCCTAAAGAAAATAGCAAAATAAAACTATAACAACAAACAATAATGGTGAAAGATTGGTAATCAAGTTTCTGAATATTTTGTTCAACCAATAAAATTTTCTCAGAAGAAACACAAAACAATTGTTCATTACTGTTATTGTCTGTTGCTTTCTATTAATGTACACGCAAATCATAGATTCTTTTGAAATAGAAAAACAAATTTTTAACTGCCATTTTAGAAGCTGCAATCATTCAAGAAATTCAGCAGAAAAGTTGGTATTTGGAGGGCATCAAGTGGGACAGATGTAACAGAACTTCCCAAACAAACTGCAACAGTTTTTCATGGGTAATCAATGTGTAATATTTGATTCACAGAAGGAAATACCAGAAATCTGAATTGAATTTAATGTCCATCAGGAACCTTTGATTTCAGAAGAGTTGATCTGTGGCGACTTCAGCTTAGACTGGGTTCATCTTAAGAGATATCAAAGTAAGCTTTGTACTCGGTATCACCGTAGTATGTCAAAAAACCTAGGTGCTCCAAGGGGTGATCTAGAAGGTGATGTCATAGCCATCAAATGCAGTATAGGGCCTCAAAGGATGTTTGTGACTGCATGACAAAAAACAGAAAGTGAACCTAGCTGAACTTAGGATACACATCCAAAAAACAACCGAATAGGAAGCTATATAAATGCCTGAACTACAAGGAGGAAAGTAGTCTCTAATATCCTCATGAGAAGATCGAACATTCAAAAAAAGTCCCCTAAACCACATATTCTCCTTAGCCACCATTAAATTGACGGAGTCCAGAAGTAAATAAATAATTATTCTATATATGAAAAACTTAGTCACATATTCTTTTCGGATGTTACTAACATTACACATGCAACGTGTAGTCTGACATGATCATGAAGCTGAGAAATTTTACACAATTGTGAGCATTTCTTGCCAACTGAATCTTCCATATATTACAAATGTTTGCCATACAACATGATAGTGATAATCTTGTTTCAATTAAGCATTCTCCAATAAAAGATATCTCATTAACAACAAAGCATAACCTTTTTTTTCTGCTAGAACTCAAGCTTAGGCATGGCTATGGTAGCAATATCCTTATTTGCCCATCAGGTTAGCATATAGGTATGCAACTTTTCATCACTGTGATTTGGTCCAGCTATGTATGCACATACTTCAGAAAAAAAAAAAAAAAAAAATCAAAGACATTCATATATCAATATCAGTTGTCAAATTTAGAGAAATGACTTAAAATGGTGAGGTAATTTCAGTTAAATTGTTGTGTGTTTTTTTTCTGCTGGTCAATTATGGATTCAATTCTACAAATTGGTACAATTTGTCCTGATTGTAGTGAAAGAGATAATCAGATACATAACACACAATCTCCTCCAACAGTCGCCCCGCTCCGGAGAAGCTTAAGAATAAAGAAGCCCACCCATGAGTGTCACTTATGTGACAGGGGGGAGTGTAGTGAAAGAGATAATCAGGTACCCCGGAAAAAAGTTTGTGTTTTGTGTGTGATCTGCCAAAGAAACATTACCAAAAAGTAATCAGCAAAAATCTTATAGCGAAGAAAACGGCGACTTACCTCGTCAAACCAAACGACAGTGCGTCACATGTATTCTACGACGGAAAAAGTAATGAAAAAGAAACAAGTCCGTCGCAGGAGTCGCTATAACAGTATTTTGATATGCAAATTACGGAGCATCCCATCCTAGCTGTCGACGAATTAAAAAAATAGGTTCTGCCGATAAAAGGAGTTGGTGTTCTCGATTCGGGGCAGAAAATGCGGGCATTTTTGGCTTTGGCGTTTGTTAGAGAGTGAGTTATTTTTCTGACTGGTTACATGCATTGTGATTCGAGATAGTACCGGCAAATCGAGTTTTCAGCATTTCTTTCTGTCCCCAATATTCGAGTCTGTACTTACAGTGATTTTTCTTTGTGTTGTGGAAGTAATCTGCGACAAATACTTCCTTTGCTTTCAGAACGCGCTTACACCTACACACTGATCCAGCTCCAATGATTGTTTCTTCCAAGGTTTGTCTAATTTTGGGAATTGATCATGTCAGAATTTACTAAACCACTCAAATTGTTTTTTCCAGGTCATTCTCCAAACATCTACCTCAATAGATCCATTTAACTTACAATCATGCAGAAGAGACATTCTCAATTGAGAAACAAAATTTTGTTCTTGCATTGTGAATACTTTCATGCAAGTAAAACTGCCAACTATGGAAGTCAAAGTTAATTCCAAATATATCTTAAATCCAAAAGGTTTGCAAACATTGTACATCTGAAATCTTTAGAACATTTGCTGTTTGCAAACTTTCTTATCGACCTAGAAATTACAAATTAATATATATTTTTTCCTTTGCTAATGATAACTATCACATCAAATAACACAATGTATGATTCTTATCTCTCATAAATTTATGATTCTGATTTTACCATATCATGGTTCTAAGCATTAAATCAAACTCACATGGAATTAATTCTGCTACTGTTTCACTTAACTTTAAAATAGCTTGCATAATGAGGAAATAATTGTTTAGTGCTTAAACCAAATGGTTAACTATCATAGAGACAGTTTCAAGGGATAATAACAACAGGCTAGCACTGTAATAATTTTAAATTTTATAAATGGGACTGCATAATTTTCACATTTATTAGTATACACTATCTATTTACACATTTACAAAATACACATAAAAATGATTTATGCATCCGGCTCAGCTTTTCTTTGCTCTTATTCAGGAAATTCAAGCAAACATAAATTATACACAAAGTTTTGTTCAAATTAGTCCCGAGAAAGAAGAAACATGAAGATACATGCATTCTCTCTTGTACTGTAGCTATTTGTTGGATTAGCCTTACAAGGCCACATATACCTATTGGTACCTATCAAATACCAACGCCGCTGTCAATAGCTTCTGTGATTAACATGCTATCTCCTGCACTACAGCAAATCTTTTAATTAACAAATAACACTACCAAGAGCAAACTTTCTGCTAACAAAATATTATAAACTAAGTACTTTTTATGGTATTGGACAGAGAGAAAAGGGAATTAAAAATTTTTATCCACACTTTTGTTTTATTTTTATTTTTTTTTAAATATTTTAATCAGCAATCTCTCTGATCCACTTTAAGTCACCTGATATGAAAATACAAAGTAAGAGTGATAAAAAATCAAAAGTGAATAAAAGTATACCAATTAAAATGATGAATGAAAAAGATCAATAAAAAAAGTGAACGATAGTCTGGCAATGAGGATTGTAGATTTTATAATATCTGAAAATAAAATAACTCACCTTTCTCTTCTTAAGTCTGTAATCAGCCAATTCCTCAGGATCGGAGATTTTCTGTTTAGGAGGCTGCAAAATATTTACATAAAACAATGTTAGTAACAAAGTTTATAAAATTACATATTACTTTATGACAGAAAAAAACTCAAAAAAAGGAATAAAGATATACATCTAAAATCTTAAAACTAAAATCTGGATGCAAACAAGGGTCTCTAACTTCTAAAATATACAACGTTGCATTTCAGTGTTTACCATATTACAGAGTCATTTTGAATTATTGCTAATTGTATTTACAAACTTTTCAATCTTAATGAAGATAATATTCTGAAAGACCCCTGCTGCAAATTGCAAGAATCTTTTATACAATCTAATCAAGCTTGTTGAAAATTTACATTTCAAGGCAATAATTTTTCTAAAAAACTGTAATTATGCATATTATAAAAATTAATTACTTAATTGGAATGTAATTTCAATTAAATAAAGGTTATTGCTAATTGCTAAATACAGTGCTTGATAACTTGACAATAGAGCCACATATAGTTTAATATTAAGTTTTTAAATCTTGTTTCAAAAAAAACTTTTAAGTGACCAATGATTGGTTCTTCTGTAGCACAGATGATTATATTGCATAGTCAATTTTACAGTGAAGCTTTTAGTTATGTATATTCTTGTCATGTTTTTAACAAGATCTAACAAATATAATATTATACTAAAACTATAATTATGTATGTAGCCCCAAGACACCTTTTTTTCCTTTGGTCCTGTAGACTCCACTGAGGAGTATGGGATTGCAGCTCTTAAGAACACTCTCAACAACACATTGCTACTGTGGTTTCCATAGCAAGGTTTTTTATAAGATGAAGTTGTTAACCCCATACCAAAGTGGTTTTCTACCTGATTTTTGCTTATAGTACCTGGTGTTCCCAAGTGGTCCCCAGATACTATTCACTGGACTCAACACTGTTTAACTTCAGTGACCAGGTGGTCAAACAAGAACATGATTTGACTGTAAGCCACTGTGCCCCAAACTACCTATACTAATTTTTTTGATCAGAGCTTATTACAAAGTTAAGTGACACTTTAATTAGAACATTGTCTAATCAGTTCAAAATAGATATTCCCCAAAAGATCCTAAATATTTCCTAAAATCTCAAATTTAAGCACAGCTCCACTTAAAATATCCAGTACTGAAAATGTAGCAATTCAAGATGAAACTTACCGGTGGCACCAATTCCAATTCTCTTTCTTTGGCTTCTCGAAGCAGTTGCTCAGCAGTGATCTGCACTGGAGCAGGCATTTTGTTTTTAACCTGTAATGACAAGACAAAAAAAAAAAAAATTAACATGATACCCAGCATTGCATGGGGAAAAATAACTTCAAATATAAATAAATATTTCTTAACAAATGAAAAATAGATTCATTATGGTTTGGCTTCACAAAACAAAAATTGAGAGGGAGTCTGTACACATTGCTTGCTGGAAAATAGATTATTTACTATTAAATAATCTAGAATAAAAATATATTATTAAAAAAAGAATAAAAAATAGTAAAATATTAAATCACCTATTTATCATTTTTGAAATAATTTGTTTTAGTCTTTAAATACTAGTCATCAGTAAATTGGTGAAACTAAAGCATATAAAATAAAATCAGTGAAATTTTTTCTGTCCTATAGTGTATATACAATGTGCCTACAAAAGAGAAGTGGTTAGTTACTTAGTCAAACAAGTTATTACATGTAAATTAGAATTGTGAATTTACTGGTTACTCTACAATTACAACGTTGAACCAAACTTGACAAAATTTAGTTTATATGCACATAGCATCTGACCTTGCTTTAAAAGCTCAATGAAGAAATAAGTGATTTTTAACTGTCAATACTTCAAAAACCAAGCCAATATCATTTCATCACTGCTATTCAGACTCCAAATTTTCTCCTGTCATGATGAACAGCTTCATTCTCAATGAGGCTCTATGTTTTGAACATTTGTTAGGTCTCAAGTAGAACTCGTATATACAATTCACTGCTAAAGATACTGGGAAATGATCAGTACGTTCTATCGCTCCAGGAAGTACCAGACTCTTACTTCCATGCTATATCATTACAAGAGTCAGATTAAACAAAACATGGAGTATTGCTGCCATAACTGAGCAAAATAGTTTACCTGATATTGCAGGGGAAGACTTATTTTCTACTGTGTCATCTCTTTCCCATAGATGCAATTTTGCAAGCCTGTCATTACTGCTATTTCCATGGAAAATATTCTGTAGTTCTACCAGCTCAGATCTTTATAGCTAGGCTACATCATGCCACTTCTATCAAGTCCAATCACCCTCATTTCCCCTATGTTTCAAATGTAAGAAGAAAGTTCCACTCCGGTAGTTTTTTAAACCCACACCCACCACCAAGAACTGCCATTTTATGAAACAGAATCCTGTGTGGGTATTTTCTTAAAGTCAATCATTTTTTTTCCTTATTATTACAATCTTTATTTCTTAACACCTTCTCTTCCATTTATATCAACTCTCATTTATCATTACCTTTTTGACTGTACCCCTCTATCTTGAGTGGATCACAAGCATTATATTAAGTGATCTTTAGTATTTAAAAAACTTCTGTTGCACTTTTTTCCTCGGATTAAAAATTAAAAGTAAACAGTATCAAGTGTGCATTTTACATTCATATTTTCACTAAAATAAAGTAAAATTATTACTTTTTTGCAAGCAGTTCTTAAAGATTATGTATGCACCAGAAATAAAGGACTGTGTAAACTTCAGAGACACTTCTAAGATTTCCCTAACACTGTGCAAAGATGGCATTCAGAACATTTGCCTCAGCCTAATAACTGTTACTTTATGTCCACACTTAACTTTTTCTTTTAGCCCTTTTCAAGTTGGTGTGCACAACTAAAGTCACAAAACAACATGCTGCCAGATCCATATAAACAATCAAATCTCTAGTGTCAGGTCAAATAATACACAGGGCCAACTTACCACCATAACACATGGAAAGGCTCATTATCCTTCAAAAACTTTTTCTTTTTCTTTCTTGTGTATGCAATCAGCAGAACACAACAAAGTAGGTTTAACTAATTGCATTTGCACATACATCTTTTGGTCTTTAGTGCATTACGCATGCAGATTTATTAGCTTACAAGTTATAGCATTAAATAGAAATCAACTTGCAAACATATTCCAAAAAGTAAATCTTTTTTTAAACTCATATACAAAATGTGACAATTTAATTCCCAGAATGGCCCTGTAAAAAGTAAAGTTTGCTTATTTGGTCATTATTTCCTGCTGTTACTTTCAAAGTACTCCATTTATGAAGCTATGTACTTCATAAGATGATGGTAACATTGCTGGAAACATTCTTGGAACATATTTTCTAGACTTTACAAATTTAAACGTACTACTGGTTTGGCAGCTAGGTCTCATCACTTCACAGTTGAAATGGCTAGATGTAACTATAATCTTTATGCTAAAAGTTTCTTCTCTTGCAATTCTCATTTGTAGAACTCTCTTCCAGCCTCTTGCTTTCCAGTCAACTTTGATCTTCAATAATTTAAACGCAATGTCAATCATTATCTTTTGCCCTCTTAATTCTTGTTCTTTTATTTTTTTCTTTCCGTAATGTTTTTCTTTTTCTCATATTCTTTCACACTCGGTAACCTCCTTAAGTTTTAGCGACTTTATTACCTTGCTTGGAATGAAATGATTAAAAAAAATGACAGCAAACCTTTGAACTTTCAGGGCATTTCCAATTTTGAAAATAGCCAAAAATCTGATGAATAAAGTGGATAACCCATTTTTGTAAGGGATTTCTCAACCAGAAATTCACAAACTCCTAACATCATTTTTCTCATTCCCAGATGTTTTGTTAATCTACCACACTGTTTCCCTATTTATATTCAGTCCTCCTGCTGTCAGTTGAACACTGAAATTGTCAACTTGAATGCACCAAAGTATATACACATTTGCATGTTGCGTTTTTGCATCACCATGCACATCCTACTTGCTTTTCCTTGAATTGTGCCATTTAAAAAAACTCAATATCTTCAGAACATGTTCCCCATAAGTCACTTTTAATATGGCCTACAGTTCACAAGCATTTTTACCAATCTTCACGCAATACTTAATGTTAATCTGCTACTCCAGATTCCTTTCACTTATTCTCCACCAGCAGTATATCATGAGCACATACAACTTCCTCTACTGCTCAGCTGGTCAGCCTATCAAGAAAGTGGAAGTTGGAACAGACATGCTCAGGTACAAATGTTTGCCTGACTCATTAACTATGCAACACACTGCAGTCATTCTGGGAATTATAAAATGTGGTAGATATTTTGCTCTCATGTTTCCTGACTGATCATTGACTGTATACAAAATATGTTACTTTTAATTGATAATGATAAATTGATGAAAGCTCTGTAGTAATTAACAAACATGTTAATGGTTTCTGTCTAAATTCCTGGGACGAGTAGTTATCATTATTTACACTATTTACATGCAGACTATTGTCCTCATCTTTGTTATTACTATCAGAATGTTTTGGCCAGTATGCCCTCCAGCCTTTGTCAATCTAGATAACCAACAGGAATTCCAAACTGAATCCTTTATTTAATCTACAGAGGTAGTTACATATTCGAACACATTCCAATAAATTCCTTTGATAAGAAGAAAATACTAGTGTTACTTGTAGCATGGTCAAATTATGAGACAGTTCAGTTATGAACAATACACTACTATTGCTATTACTACAATATACTACTATTGTTATTACAAGATTTTGTTAGATTAATTTTTTAAAAAAATATGTAGCTAAAGGTGTATGCAGTGAATGTGATTTTACACTGCCACCAAAAGTGGTTGTTAGCCTGAAAGAAGTTGTTATCTTATTGAGAAACAAAAGTAGATAAGCAGGATGATTAAGTTGCTAAGCATCTGTCAGACCAAGTTGTAAGTACATTATGCGGAAAAACTTTAATTAACAAGATGAAAAATTTGCAATTTTTTTTAAGTCTTAGATTGTGTATATCAATTATACAATCTGCATACTTGAAGATTTATCAGGAACTTGTCATAAGTTCTCATCAATGTAAGAATTTGAACTAAATTGGCAGCAAGGTCACATCATTTTACAGTAGAAATGGCTAGATGTAACCATAAACTCTACACTAACAGTTTCTTCGTTTGCACTCCCCATTTGTGGAACTCTCTTCCAACTTCTTGCTTTCCAGTCGACTTTGATCTTTAAAAATTTAAATGCAATGTCAATCGTTATTTTCTGTCTTCTAAATTCCTGTTTTTTTATTGTTCTCTCTTCTTAATAATCTTTTTTTCTCATATTCTCTAACACTCAGTTACCCCTTGCATCTTAGTGGCTTTATTACTTTGATAGGGGGTGAAATGATAAGAAAATAAATGGTCTTGGTGTGTAGCTTAACACATAACTTGTACAGGTAAGATTTCTTTGAGAACTGACATACAATCAGTTGTAGGAAAATGTCCAGTGTTGTGCACATTCTTATTACTGACATTGAAAAGGTAGTTCTATTGTCACAATTTGTTGTTTATTGTTGCTGACTACAGTAAAGAATTTATTGTCTTATAATAACTTTGTCATGTCTTTTGTACACTGGCTGTAAACAATAATTGAACATGGGACCTTGAATAAGTACATGAGTACAAGCTGGAAGAGAATGTGGCAAATCCTTAATATTTTTTCTTGTTAAGAATCAACTGACACACTTTAAAATGTAATTAATCTACAAAAAATACAAGTTTAATATCCTTAGTTTTGTTACTGTCTTCTATGTGCCATGTCCCTTCAGGACATTAGTGATTATAGCTCACCAAAACTTCCAATTCTTTGAAGCACTTCATAAATTTTGTCTTTTTGTTATCTTTCATAAACTCTGTTCTGCCATCCATTTACTCAAGCTTGATAGGTAAGTTATGCATTGTTTTCCTCTGTCCCTCTTGCCTTCAATCTATCCTGTGTATCAAATTTTCCAAGCCCTCTTTCCTTATCATATGCCCTAGAAATTTCAACTATCTCTTCCTGGTGTTAAATATATGTGTCATTTTCAGTTTCCATTTTCTCTAAAACTTCATTGCTGCTAACATGTTCAGTCCATAGTATTCTCAGCATCCTTCTGTAGAATCACATTTCTGTTGCTTCAAGTCTCCATCTTCATCCATGTGAGGAGAGTGTCCAACATTCACTGCCAGTTCAGTACTCTTTTCTTTGTTTCTAGCAAAATTTTTCTGTTTTTTAATACTTTGCTTAGCTTTTGGAAAGCATCTTTCACTATGACAATGCACTTTTGATTTTCAGTGTCAAACTTTCCATCCTCTGCTGAAATACTTCCCAAATATTTAAACAGTTCTACTTGCTTGATTTTGGTATCTCCAATTTGTAATTTGCATGTTGGGCTGTCCCTTTTGCTAACAACCGTGTATTATATCTTCTTGCAATTGACATTTAGTCCTTTCTTCTCACTTTCCTTCACTACCTTCTGTTAAAGTTCCTGTAGTTTCCTTTCTGCATTGGTGTCATTTGCATATCTTTTGTTATGATTGTAGCCACAAATAATGAATTCTGGTAGAACTTCTAATTCTCTCAGAATCACCTCACTGCATAGGTTGAATAAATCCAATGAAAATATACATCCTTGACTTACACCCCTTTTTATTTCAGTATATTTACTGAATTCATTTTCTATCCATATGCAGGCAGTTTGCTGCCAGTATAGGTTCTGGATTATTCTAATATCCTTCCCAAATATGTTGTGGTTACCTAGCAGTTCGAACTGTTCTTTGTGATGTACTTTATCAAACACTTTTGCATTTGTATTGCTCTTTCTGATATCATTTTGAGCATTTCAGTTTGCAAAAATCAACACATAGCCTCCAAAAATTAACTGCTTCCTTAAAGCTCTAATTGAAGCTGTAATGCCCAACTACTAATTGAAGATTAACTTGTCTCAAGCTTCATCATGTGATTAAATTTGTTCTGAGTTAGTGTCTGCTTGATGACTATTATCATGCAGGATTTTGGTACTCTTAAAATTCAGGTTTGTCATAGTCAGAAATTTTCGCAGAAGTTGAGAAAATTCTGAACTCTGATCTGTGGTTGATACTTTTGGTTTAAATTTAAAACTGTTTGAAAATAACCTTTTGAGTTAAAAGCTTATTTCAGGCTCCTGTATCTTAATGTTTGGTTGCTTCATTTTCTATGGCTTATCAACCCTTTGCAGGTTATTTAATGCCAGAAAATATTTTTAGAGAGTAAGAATTTTTTTGGGATAATAACTGGGGCTAGGTGGATTCATACTTTTCACAAGATTATTTGTGTGTAATTGAACCAAACTGGAATTGTAACTCAGCTCTCCAATTAACAAATCTATTACTCTTGCCTGGTCATAGGCCTGTTGTAATGTTATGGTGCTGTTTTCAGATATTCTTTGTCATATATCCGTGGATCATAGCCCATTTATGAAGGCATCTCATATCAATTCAGCTCGATATAGTTCTGCTGATACCAAAGAAAATGAACAGTCCTTACTTAATTTTATTAAGGCTTGATAAAATCCATCAATAGAATCTGAGAATAGTTGATGCCTTGTCGCCAGTGTCTAGAGATTATTTCATTTTTAGAGGTCACCAATTATAACACAACTGTTTAAAATACTTGTTTTTGTCATATAGGAAAAACTCATTCATCAGTGACATTTAAATCCCTCATAGAATGCAAAGTTCTCAAAGCAAACCTGTGCCAAACTATTTTCCTGAATCCTCAATGACTTGGCCGTCCGAAAATGACAAGATGAAACAATGGAAACTGACCGTGGAAAACACAATTATGTTTAACAAGTTTTCAATCAATCAGTTACCTTCTAGATGTTTTCAGGCCATTTTATTGGCTCCAGACGACTATTGTTTGCACATGGAATTATTCACTGGTAATTAATCTTCAATTTGGCTGTGAAAAATGTCACTTGGGTGTTAGCATTAAGAAATTATGGCCAATGTTTTGAGAAAAATCACTTTTTTTTATGAAAAAATAATTTTTTTCCCTTCAAAACAATTTTTTTCAAACTTCAATCCTTTCTCTTTAAGTTGGTATGAACATCATTGAATAAAAGGAACCACTATATGACCCAACAATAGGAAATACAAAAGACATATAGAAAAAAAACAATGTCATCTGCTAAGTGTTTGTGTCATCACCCAGGTCACAAGGTGTTTGCTCTTATCTTGTAAGTGGTGGGGTTTATCACCAGCTGATGACAGCTTGTTTTAACTTTTATTTCTGGCTGGCCATGTCAAAGTCAATTTGACTTAATTTGAACCCTATTTTCCTAATCAGTACTATTCTTGGAAAAAAAAACTTATGTCAATTTTGTTAACCCCTGGAGGCCATATAATTGAAAATTACCAACAGACTTTATCGCGTTTTGACTCCCTAGGAATTTTGTTTTCCTTCAAACTCTCAATTTTATGCCTGAAATAGTTTGATTATGATTTAGGCTTTCTGATTTTCCCCAAAAAATGGTTAATTTTCCCATTATTGGGGAAAATCTTTGTTTAGAACTAGAAAAAATGGAAAATTTTCACTATTTTTTTACATTTTACCCCCTGAAAAAATCTTTTGAGTCATTTACACCAGCCAATTTTGCATTTAAATGAAAGAACATAGTGTTTTTACTTTCAGAAAATACCTAGTTTCATGGGGTTAGATGATGACAAAACAGTCATTTTTCAATATTTTACCACTAAAAGTATGAAAATCCATTTTTTTTTTCAGAGAAAATAGGCTGTGAAAAAAATGACTTCTCATGAGGTTTACCATAATTTCTACGTTTAAAAAAAAAGAACAGTTTTCAGTTTTTATTAAAGTTTTAGTTATTTATTTGTTTTTTTAGTTTGTTTGTTTTTTAAAGCTGTTATCCTAACCCAACAGCAAAAGCCTAAGCTTCATACACACAAGAAAAAATAAGTTGTAAAAACGAATTAATACTGATTAGACGGAGACAAACTCCTCAAACTGGGACGTATAATAAGCTTTTTAAAGGGTCATTTAACAGTTTTTAAAACTGAGTACAAGACTTAAGAGAAATTATATTACTAATTTATTTGTTTTTGTAAAATAAAAATATATATCAACTGACTGATCAACAAAAGATCGTATGCCTTTTTCTTTTTTAATCTAAAAAAACTTCATCCTTAACTAATTCACAAAATTTAAAATTTCAAGTAACATTATTTCAGCAAAAATATATCTTCCTTATATAATACATTAAAAGAGGTTTCAGTTTAATACTATATTGTTAAAATCATTTTTTTGTTTGCGTTTTTCAGTCCTTCTTGTCAGCACATGTGGAGAAACATTCAAAATAGTCGCCATTTACTTTCGACTAGTTATGTCAGAATATCTACAAGTCGATTGAAAAACTTAGTAAGTTAAAAAGATTAATGATAATAGTAAATTTCCCATTATTCTCTTAAGTATTAAGTAAATAAACATATCACATTTTCCCGATAGCAACTATTTCAAACAAAGTAAATACATCCAAACAATCGAATTCTCCAGTGGTTAAATTTAAAGACGTAAACAGTCGATCGAATCAGTGTCAGCTGAGGACGGCTTATAAGTAATAGTGTTGAAAATGTTTTTTTAAAAATTAAATATTTCAGACTTACCTTTGCCACTTTGGGCATTTTGGTCTTTCCTCCAGGTGTAACTTCAGCCATATTTTCGGTACTTTGTGAACAAAAACAATCCCAGCAGCAAACTAAAAAGTACAGTTACGAAGACTGCTCGCCCTTGTTTTCTCTGAATAATAATGAAAGTAACAATAGGTTATGTTTAGCTACGGATGTTCATAAGTGCCAAGAGTCACTTCAAATTTTACGGTTCTACTGTGTAGGAATTACAATTTATTTTGACGCCAGGAAAAGATGTTTTCTGTTTCGAAGGGAAGCTTCTGCTCATCCAGAAGTTAAAACAACGTTTTTAATCATGAGTTCTAAATGTACTTGTCTTTGTGTGTGTGTTTAATAGAAAATTTGTATTTAAAAAAAATGTTATTTATTTTGTATGCTCCTATGTGTGTTAATTGTGCATGAAAGAGATAAAATTACTAGGCATGTGCCATAACAGTCAATATAATGATAATTTCAGTTTGATCATTTTACATATAAAAAGAAGATCACAATAAAAAAAAAATCTTTTACATTTTCTGACCAATAAGCACACTTGTAGCAAGAATTGGGAAAAAAGATTATTCAAATAAATCCTGCAACAGAAAACCATGATGAGAAGTAATAACAATATATGGCACACAGGAGACACAGGCAGAGAATCATAAAAGGCCAAAAGGATTTTACGAAAAAACATGTTACAAGTTATACTGGACATACACAATGTGTTGTGGGAAATTTGTTTCAGCTTTCCCACATGAAAGGGTTGAGGTTAAAAATTGCGACAAAAATTGAATAAATAGCAGCAAGCATCTACGGTTGAAAGATTACAACAGACAAAACTCTGTCTTTTAGGTGCACAAATAAAGAAAGACTAAAAAATCCTGCTCGATGTGTAACATAAAAGATGTTTATTTCCATTTACAAAAAGAAGGGTAAGGTGATAAATTATAGTGGGTTATCAGTTATAGTGAAATGTATGAGTGTTGGCCTTGTTAGTTAGATAGCCCACCATAAGAGGGATATAAAACAAGAAAATCAAATTGTAAAGTGAAACAACAAATTTATATACATATAAATCAATTTAGGTCTTTACAAATAAATGTGGATGTATGTATATATGTATGAGCATTATCGTAGGGTAGGAATGTCTTTGAAGTAATCACTCAGTCTTAAAATGTTCCATTCATTTATCAAATGTAAAAGAGGTGAGGGAGAAAGGTAGAGATAATAATGATCGCTTGACGTTTGTCAAGGGACTTGTTAATATGCTTGTCTCCTTCTCTCTGGTGACAAGCGAACTTGCCCGTCTTTTATTTTGTTTGTCAGGTTTGAAAAGGTCATTTGGGATTTCACTCCTGAATATGATCTGGGACTTTCCATTGGGCAACAAATAAACTTCGTGTTTGCTCGCGAAAATGTCCGTAAAAGAATTTGTTTCTGAGAATTGAAGATCATTTGAATTTTGTTTTTAAATGTTTCCTAGTTTTCTATTGGCCAAAAAACATTTCATATCAAGGTATGAAATTTCACGAGTTTTATTTTGGATTTGCTTTTGCGTGTATGTTAAGCAAAGTTTGTAAATTCAAGTCTTTTAATTTCTAACAAAATTACTGAGTCAGTGCTTAGCATTTGAATTTTAAATCTAGATCTTGTTTTGTTCACTACAAAACCCAATTGCAAGAGAAAGAAAGGCAGAAGGAAAAGTCCTTTAACTTTAATGAAGAGAAATTGTTCATAAAAGAAAAAGGTTTGCTCAAAATATTTCTCTGAGCACCTAAAAGTTCTTTAAGCAAGTAGATTTTTGTTAAGGGTCAAAACACTTACAGTTTTCTTCAGAGTTCTTGCATAGTAGGAAAATGTTGGGAGATACGAATTTTGCAGTTGAGTGAGTCATAGGTTGATGACAGAAGTCTTGTACGTGAATGAGGCAACTTTCAACTGATATTTAGTAGCGGGTTGACATTCTTTCTCAAGAACCCTTAGTAGATAGTTCTTTCTAGCTGACAGCAAAGATTACTGCTTTTCCATTGCCGACCTTTCTTGTTTCACAGACGATTGATGATTACTCACTGCCAAATAGGCAAAAGATTCTCCAAATTTATAGAGACTATGAGGATCAGAAATATTGAGGACTTTTCCCTCCAAAATTGTTATACAATTTCCTGGCCCCTTCATTTTTTAGAAAATATATTCTTATCTCTGATGAGGTTTTGGGAGCTGCAACAAGCTGTGAGCATAACCCTCAGACTTTATGGCACCATGGAAAGGATAATGATGGTGGAATTCCTTTTTATATTTTCCTGCTCTCTTGTTGGTTAGAAAATATATTCTTATCTCTGATAAGAATCAAGTCTTTGGGAGCCGGTTTTGAAAGCAAGGAAAAAGGTTGGAGTGAAGGTTCAAAAATAGGAGAGAATGTGAACTTGTAAAATATTGTATTCATGGTTCTCAAGTTAAATTCCAGTAGTGTATTGTGGGATGAAATTAGGAGATTTTAGGCCAATAAAAAGGTACAAAATATGGAAAAAAGATTACATTCATGCAACATTGTAAAAAAATCAAGAACTTTCCTTTCCATTACAAAAACAACATAAATTAAACTTGAGTCAGAAACACTATTTTACAAACAAACAATATTACCAAGGTGCATCTAAAGTTTGTTAAAAAAAGTTCCCAAACACACATAAACAAAAGAATTAGTACAGAGTATATACAATATTCTTCATTTACTTAACAAAGGTAAATACCTGAAAAGTTCCAAGGATAGAAAAACAATACTTCACTGTGATCTTTCTGTATCGCTGTTATATTTGGATGAAGAGTTTCTTTAGCCTTTAGTATCTGGATACAGCTGTGAATTTGTTGTCTCTGTAATCAATGGTAATAATTTGGGTTTGAATCCAGAGTTTTTACTCATCCCACAAAGCCAGAAATCTAGGCTGAAAGTAACAATGTGACCTGAAAGTAGAAATTTTCAACTCTTTCTCATATGTTTTTCATTTTTTTAAGTAGGCATCACAGGGTCCTTATGATGATATCTTTAAAGAAATTGATTGGCTGATGGTGATTTCATACTTAACTAGGATATTTCACAAGGGCTGAGTATTAATTGGCAAAGAGAGTCACAATGTCATTAAACTAGGATGAGTCATGTTGCCATACTACCAAAAACATCGAAGGGGTCAAATGACTGCTAGCTGATAGGCCAAGAAAATCGTGATGTCAACAAAATTTCTTCAATAGAAGCTGAGTCATGTTTTCAAGACCTGGAAATTCTACCAAGGTAATACAACATGAAATCAATAAGAAATATTTTTATACTCACTTTGCACCCAAACATAAATTTCACTGAGTTAAAAGTTTTAAAAAGTTTAGATCAAAACAGCTCTTAGATACAGAATTCTGTTGTCAGTATTTCATCCAATAAAATTGTACCTAATATAAAGCATTATATTTCATCCAAATAGAGTTCAGGTTATAAAACATTGATTTCAACATTAAAAAAATTGTCTGTTTCAAGAAAGTTGAAATAAAAATACTGTATAAACATGTATTTTTAAATCTTATTCACTTAAAATATTTTTTAAATAAAAATATTTTTTAATATGCCAAAAAGTATTTTAAAATCATATTCATTTGAAAATATTTTTTAAATATAGCAAAAATATTTTTGAAATATTTAAAATATTGTTTGTTTAAAGAAAACTGAAATATAAAGAATGTAATTCATTCTCTTGTCTGTCTGTTTCTCTCAACCAATTCAACATTTGTAGTTTTTGTATGACAATACACAGCTTCTTCTCAACTGCAAATAATCCCAAAACAACAACTTATAAATAGAGAAAATTTTACAACAAGCACACACACACACACACACACACACACACACACACACACATAAATATATATATATATGACCTAAAGATTGCAATCAAGTGTGAAACAAACTATTGCCACTTGGTGTTGACCACAGTGTTCACTTTTATATTTATATACAATCTGTCTCTGATAATGAGCACTTTTAGCCATAAAGATAGCATAACTTAAAACTATATTTTCATCATATTTTTATATATACATAAAAACATATACATATATATATACATATATATATATATATATATATATATATATATATATATATATATATATATATATATATATATACATATATATATATATATGCTCTGTAAATTTACATTGAGCATTATTTTGTATAAATAAAATATCTATAAGAACACCGGATTATATATCTTACTGTTCTTTTTTTTTTATATATATATATATATATATATATATATATATATATATATATATATATATAATTGTGTATTTGGGCAGATATCCCTCTTTTATACAAGGTTTGTGTTCTTATACTTTTCTATTGCTGTGAAGTTTTTATTTAATTTTTCTTGTGTTCTTATACTTTTTTTCTTTTCTGGACATAAATTATGTAGAAATTGTCCTAAGTTTTGTATGTCTAAATACTTTCAGCTATACTTTTAGTCATTATCCAAGATGATTCTATTTTTACTTTTAACTGAATGTATAGAGTTTTTACATATATATATAGAAAGAATTATAGGAATTTTTTATTTCATAAAATAAAAAAACCTTCTAGATCCAGCATTACAAGCAAATACATTTCTTAATGTTTTCCATTCCACCCCTGGAGTATACTGCCTTTACCTTTCAAGTGCCAAAAATATAACAGGGATGTAATGGACAGCAGTTTGGATCGAGGAATCAGAGAGCTGAGTTCAAATTCCAGTCAAATTCATTACATTCACTTACATGCTAATACCCTTGGGAAAGGTATGAATCCTTTTCTTCTCCCCCCAGCTATGGATAAATAGCAGGACAGAATGGATTCTGTATAGCCTTGGATGGCAACTGGTCTACTAAAGAAAGAAATGGCAACCTACTGCAGGAAAAATCTGCTTCATCAGTCATATATCGGAAGATACATGATCACCTAAGTGTGCATCATGCATGGCACATAACTGACTGACTGATTGGCATACTGCCTTCTCATGAAAGAGATTTTG